CCCCCCCCCAGTCTCCAGATAGCCAGTGGGTTCTATAGATGTCGATATGCAAATGTAATATGAATATGGAACAGCATTCTGCATACTCCATGGTTACCTGCGTCTTGCTTCCCTGTTAGACAGGAACATTCTCCCAGCTCCTGTCCCTCCTAATGGCCTGCATAGAATTGTGTGGTGCCGACCTTCCATGGTCAGAGCCTGCCCACCTGGGCAGGGTGCTTGAGGTGGCTTCTGGCTGCTGCTGCTATCAGTAAGACAGACATGAATGTCATCATATCCATTTTTGCATACCGCACTCCGTAGAGCTTTTGGTCATTTGAATTGCTTGATTCAGGGATGACACCTATTTTATATATTTTTAAAATGCCAGTTAGCAATGGCCAATCTCTGTGTTCTATAGCCCACATGCTCCTTGGCATTGAGACCAACTTAAGGTGTGTCCTGGCTTCACTGGGCAAGACCCTGGTTGGTCCTGGCTGAATCTCGGTTTCCTCATCTGTGGGATGGGGGACATGTCATGGGGACCTGCAAGAGCCTACCACGTGGTAGTTTCTGCACCGGAATTGAACAGAATGCCCCTATTTTAGGAACCTGTGATCCAGCAGACGTCTGGGGACAGGAGAGAAACTTTGGGCTGGTAGTGGGTTTTTATCCAACATGCCTCATGTCTGCTCTGCTTAATGTAGAGCTATGCCCCGTCAAGAAATGGGCACTGAGATACACTGGCTTTCAGGGCAGTGGGGTCACATGGTAACCCCTGCTGTGATGTAACAGCTGCCACCATGTCCTGTGCCCTTACTGTGTGCCAGGCACATGGCTGGTCCTGACTGGCCTTTTTTCCCTCCTTCTATACCACCTTCTGCCAGCTAGGAGGCACAAGCCTCCAGGTTGAACAGGGACGGCCAAGGTCAGTTGTTGGCTTGTAGGAGAGGCCAGAGGAGCTGGGGTGAAGCCAGGGTTTCCTAGCTTCAAGGCCCATGTTCTTTACCCCACTGGACCACCTCAGCAGAAGACATGGCTAGGTCCTGGGTTCTAGCTCCAGGACTGTTTGGATCCACTGTGCGATCTTTGACAGATTACTTAATATCTCTGAGCTTCCAGTGTACTATGATAAGCAAGAGTGATTTGCTAAAGCAGTTTTTGAGTAGTTGAGGAGTGAGGAGTTGGGGTAGAGGAAAAGAACATGGCAGAGCAGCAGTTGATACAAGGGTTATGACAGTGGTGTGTCCAGACAAAGCTCAGTGTTATTCCTACTTGTTTCATGAAACTATGGATCTATCCTAAAGATTGACATAGGGTCTAGAGCAGAGCAGGTACTTAATGAGTATGTTGTATGGATGGATAGGCAGACTGGTACACAAGTGAGTGGGTAGATGGATGGATGATGAATGGGTGGATAGTTGGACAGGTAAATAAATGATAGACATATGGGTAGAGGATGGATGGATGGATAGATGGATGATGGATGGACAGGTGGATGTGTGGACGAATTGGCAAGTAGGCATATTGATGGGTGGATGGATGGATGGATAGTGAATGTGTGGATGGATGAGTGGGTGGATGGGTGGACAGATAAACAGATGATAGGTGCATGGATGGTGGATGGATGGACAGTTTGAAGTGTGGATGGGTGGACAAGTAGACATACTGATGGATGCATGCATGCATGGACAGATGGGCAGGTGGATGGCTGATGGATGGATCAATAACTGGATTGATAGACATGTACATGAGTGATGGGCTGTAACTGATGAATGAATGGGTAGTTGGGTGGCTTAGTAGATGGGTATGTAGGTGAGTGAAAGGATGGATGTTTGGTGGATGGGTGAAGGTTTGAGTGCTTAGTATATGACTATGGAAGCTCCCAATTTCCTAGGAGCTTTACATACCTTATCTTCTTCCCTTGCTTCTTTCTTTTAATATTTTTTTAGTAACTTTAAGTAGTTGTTTAAAGGGATTTCAATTCCACATGTCAGCTAACGAGTACAATGTGATCAGTGTCACTCCTTCCATCGGTCTTCTTCCAACTTCCTTTGTATTTGGCCAACAAGTAGCACTGAGCATTCCTTCTGCAAGTAGGGGCTACCAAACCAGCCAGCAGCCTTCTCCTTATAAAGCTTGCAGTGTGGTAGGGAGACAAGTATTGAAATATGTGAGTGATGGCCACTGTGATCGTGTCACCAGGGTCTCCAGTCTGATACCGAACACGAGGGAGAGTTTGCACTAGTTAGGGAGCCCTAAGATTTCTTGTACTCCTGCTGGAAGGAAAATAGGAGCTTGCTAGGCAAAAGGAAGGAGATGGCGGAGGGACACGTGGCAGACCTGGTGGTGGGAGGAACATGGCATGGCTTGATTGGGGCAGGGAAAGACAAAGGGAACCGTAGATCAGATGACTGATGGGGACTTAGGACCTGGAGACAATGGGAAGATGTTGATAAGTTTCTAGGCAGGGATGAGGACACAGATTGAGGAGGTTAGCAGATTAACTACTGGCACCAGAGAATGTCAGTGTGAGGAGTTGTGGTAGACTTCAGAACAGGAGGTAAGTTGAGGAGCCCTGTAGGAGGTAAATATGATAGAGCGGGGGACCTATGTATATATGGGTGTATATATGGATGGATGGTTGGATGGACAAATGGACAGGTGGATGGCTGATGGATAGATGGCCAAGGGGGGGGGAGGTAACCAGAATGTGTCCCAGGAATGACTGCAGAGATTCAGGGGGGCCACAAGCTTTAAGGCTTGAATTTGGAGGACTCTTGAATCAGCAGAGGGGAATCAGGTCAGTACCTGATGATGGGGAGCAGGGGGAGGGGCTCCTGGGGATTCTTACCATTTCTGTGCACCCACGTGATGAGGAAGTGAAAGCCAGAGATGAGGTAACTTGTGCTAAACCACAAATGTCTTGTCTTTGCAGACACTGAAGCAGAGGATGTGGACAGCCCAGAAAGTCCTCCGCTGCCTCTGCCCTGGCTCCCCCTGCAGGATGGTCAACTAGACCTGACCGAAGAGGAGCCTGATGAAGCCCCAGGAAGCCCCGGGAGTGAGGCAGCTGAAGAGAGTTCCCCAAGGCCTGGGTGTGCCGACCAGGACTACACCAGACCCATGGTTCCACAACGGGGTCAGGCCGGGAGCTGGGTGGCTTCAGGCGAAGAAGCTGGTGGAAATGAGTCTTCAGAACCTCCCGAGGCCCACCGATATGCTGGATTCTGCTCAGTAAGATCCTGGAGCAGTGGGACCGTGAGCCTTGGCCAACCTAGTGACAGTCTGGATTCTCCCTGGGAAGGAGAGGCCGACATCCCCCAGACTACTGCCAGGACAGGAGCCCTACCGCAGAGTTCCCACCACCACCTCCTGCCCCCTGATGACAGAGCCAGAGGTGGCGTTGCTCCGGCAACGACCACAGAATTCCAGGATCGCTCCGCATCACCAGCCCAGAGTCCTGAGCACAGCGAGAATAGATGGGGGAGAGACACCGCCAGCCTGTCCAGCCCATGGTCTGAGGACCCAACCTGGAAGCAGACCAAGACCTCCTCTAAGCCGTTGCCATCCCGATTCACCGGCTCCATCAACCCTCTGAGTCTCCAGTCTAGTACAACACAGAAAGACCAGTCACAGCCCAAGCAGGGAGACACTCTGGCCAGCCACTCTTCTTCCCATGTCCCCAAGTACGGTCGGGGACGTCTGAACTACCCACTGCCTGATTTCTCCAAAGTGGGGCCTCGGGTGAGGTTCCCCAAAGATGAGAGTTACCGCCCACCCAAGTCCAGGAACCATAACCGGCAGCCTCAAGACGCCACGGGGCCCCTGATCTTCAAGTCACCGGCTGAGATTGTGCGTGAAGTCCTGTTAAGCAGTGGAGAAGTATCCCCGGCCAAGGACTCACCTACTTCATACCCCGTCGCCAGGGTACCCCAAGAGTTCCAGACACCCGAGCAAGCCACCAAGCTGGTCCACCAGCTGCAGGTAAGGGGGACTCCTATTTTAGTGTCTCATTCAAGCACCTGTTGGCCTGAGATAGACCAGATTGGGGAGGGGAAGGCCTTTAATCTGGGCTGGAGCCCTCTGTTGGTGGAGGTGGGTAGTTCTGGAGGTATGAGAGAAAAATCAAGCCTTTTGTTCAAAAAGAGCAATACTGTAATTGTGCCACTGTCTCAGTGGTGATGTGGGCGTGTTTTGAACTTAGGAACAATTCAGATATCTTCAGGAGAGAAAATCATATAATGACTGCCCACATCCCCATCGCACATAGTATACAAATTCACCAGTAGCCAGCAACGTTTTTCATGCACATACCCTCTCCCACTAACGCTTCTTGGAGGGTGTGTGTGTGTGTGTGTGTGTTTTAACAAAATCTTAAGCATACACCACTTTATATTTTAGTATGTCTGTGTTTGATGACAAGAACCATATTTTAGACATAACCACAAGTGAATACCAGCTCTGTCATCTGACTTGTCTTCATTTGTCTCAGCAGTGGCTCGGTCACTTTAGTTTGTTTCAATCAGGATCTGAATGAGGTTCCTTTGTGGCTGCTGGTCAATGTCCTGTGCCTTTAGTTCTCTCCTGCCAGTTCTGAGGCTTGAACTTGGGGCCTGGGCACAGTTCCTGAACTTTGTTGTTCACCCCCCCTCCCCCTCCCCGCCGCCCCACCTCCACCCTAGTCCTGGGGCTTGAACTCTGGGCCTGGGCGGTGTCCATGATCTTCTTTGCTCAAGGCTAGCACTTTACCAGTTGAGCTACAGCCACTTCTGGCTTTTTCTGAGTAGTTTATTGGAGATAAGAGCCTCTTGGACTTTCCTGCCTGGGGTGGCTTTGAACCATAGATCTCAGTCTTCTGAGTAGTTAGGATTACAGGCATGAGCCACTAAGCACCTGGCTAACTCCTGAGCTTTTGTGCTGGACTAGTGTGCTACCACTTGAGCCACAGCCCCACTTCCAGCTTGTGGTGGTTAATTAGAGATAAGAGTCGAAGGGACTTTCCTGCTTGTGCTGGCTTTGAACTGCAGTCATCAGATCTCAGCTTCCTGAGTAGCTAGGATTACAGTTGTGAGCCACCAGTACCCGGCCCACTTTTTCTTCTCTTTTGTGGTTTACATTTATTTTCAAATCTCTTATCTGTAAGCCTTTTCTCCTCTGACTTCTTCCTGTAGTTTGCTGTTGATAAAATCAGCCCTGCCCCCAAGAGCTGCCCACAGCTACCTGCAGAAGCACATGTGGCATATTGGAAGACCACCCATATCCTCTCTTCTCTATCTAGGGGTAGGACCTGAGCTAGGAAACTTCTGGGTTGCAACCAGCTCTATGTTGTGTGTGTGTGTGTGTGTGTGTGTGTGTGTGTGTGTGTGTGTGTGTGAGTGTGAGAGAGAGACAGAGAGACAGAGAGACAGAGAGAGAGAGTGTTCCTGTGGATCATGCACTCCAGGAGTTTGTGGCCAGAGATCTGGGGAATGGGGCTCAGTGCTTCCTCCAGCCTTACAGCTGTGACCTGCCTAGACCTGGCAGCTGTTGTGTGATCCAGCTCTTTATTTGGAGTGTCAGGATGAATGATTGTGTTCTGAGAATGCTGTCCCTTCTGCATTCTTTGCTAGAAAGCTTTTGGGTCTTTTTGTTGGTTTGGTTGGTTGGTTTTTGGTTTTGTTTTTGGCTGTACTGGGGTTTGAATTCAGGGTCTTGTCCTTGCTGGGCAGGTGGTTTTCCACTTGAGACACCCCTCTCTTGCCCTCTTTGCCTTAGGTTGTGGTAACCAAGGCCTTGTTCAGATGGAACAGACTTGCTTGATTTTGCCTTTCGTGACTTGTTTTCAGAACATTAAGAAACACTCTCCTTCAGCGCTGACTTGTGACATTTGCATTTGCCTTTTCTCTTGATGATTTTAATGAAAGCAAAGCAAGATGGAGCTGTAACTGAATCTTCTGCTTTTCTGCAGAGGAACTCTTGGGTGATTAGCACACTCTATGTGTGCTACGAAGCACACCCTGCTTAGGTTCTTGGAACAGGGCAGTAGGGAAGACAGCTATGACCTGACCTATGGTGCCCCCAACAGACAGGCAGGAAAGTTGGGGCCAGTAGGAAAGAAGTGACAGGCCTTATTGTGGGCTCTCCATCAGGTAACCCTGCCACAGGCCCTCCCCCAAGATGTACTGGCCCCTGGCTGGAACTGGCCTGTTGTCTGATGCTGGAGCCGAGGAGTCCACATTGAATGGCATCCTGAAGGTGTTGAACAAAGCACCATGTGGGGGTGGGACCTGGCCCATGAGGGCTTACAGCTTGGAAGACGGGCCCCCAGCCTCCAGTGTGAGCATGTCCTCCCTCCTTCCCACAGGAAGACTACCACAAGCTCCTCACCAAGTACGCCGAAGCCGAGAACACAATCGACCAGCTGCGCCTAGGGGCCAAGGTAATAATGGCCAGGGTGGGAGGAAGTGTCCAACACCACACCAAGTTTGTACCTCCACTGAGCCCTCCACTGATGCGGAGAGGAGCCTAGTGCTCCTCAGTGATGCTGGGCTGCCACCTGGCCCCTCGTGGGTTCAGTCTCCCTGTTTATGCACTTTGGTGTCTTTAAGTGCTAAAATCTAGGGTGGCTGGGATTTCAGCAGCAGCTTTCTCCTCCTAGGTGGTCTTTAGGGTAAGATTCCACTCCTGAGTCCCCTAACCAGCTGTGTGTGCCCTTAAGAATGTGACCAGGGCTCTCTGAGTCTCAAAAGAGTAGCACAGAATTTCTGCCCAGTCTTGTTTCCTGGGCCCCGGTTCTTCTGGATCACAACCTTTGCCTGTCTTCTTCCCAGTCTCCCGCACATCCTCACCCCTCACCCTTATTGAGACTGGACATCATGTGTGCAGCAGGTGAGAGGTGTCATTTGTCCACTCCAAGAGCTGGCTTTCCTGCTGCCTAGCCTCAGTTTGTCTTCAGGCTCTCTGCTCCAAGATCTTCCTCTTTTCTGGGGTAAAGCAGGAAGTGGGGCCTGTTGCAGCCCCTGTGGCTTCCTGCTTTGCTGTGCATGCAGGAGGCAGGGAAGCTATGAGCAAAAGTGCAGGCCCTCCCCTGACACCCCATTAACGTGTCTCTGTGGGTGCCCCCATCTTGCCCAGATGGCTCCACCCATGTGCTGGGTCCCCTCCTCCACCACACGCTACCTTTATCTAGAGCTGCTTCCTTCCTGGGAGTGTGGGTGGGGACAGTGAGGTGAGAAAAGGGATTCTCTGTCTCCACACCTGTAGCACCCTCTATGCAGGCAGGTCCCTTCCTACCACTGCCTCTTAGAGCATGCCTGTAAGAGGGGTAATCAGATCTGCTCCTGAATGCCAGGAGATCCAGCTGAGGTCTTAAGACCCCTAGAGCTCTCTCAAGGGACTCAGAGATGGAAGAGGACCCCCCTCATGAAGGAAGCCACAGACTCCAGAAAGTCCAAGGAGAGACAGGAATGGCTTGTCAGGCTCCAGCCTTCCAGTGGCCCCATTTTGCTGATTGGGAAGCTGAGGGCCCGGTGGGGATAGGGTGAGGCGCTTAGGGTCAGGATAGGTGGAGATGTGGGGCATTTTCATCTGCCTCCTGCCTCATCTAAACAGATAGTGAGCACACGGGGCACCTCACAGAGTGGTGGGACTCCCCAGCCCATGAGGACCTGTGTGGATACTCAGGCCGTCCTAGCTGGAGCCAGAGGCTGGCTTGGATGTGAGGGGCTCATAGTATAGAAGCAGGGGGCATGGATGCGTGAACACCAGCTTATTACCCTCATCTGCTCAAGAGAAAGATGCCCCCTTGGCCTGAGGGCCATCCTCAAAGAAGGGGAGAGCCAAGGGTCGACAGCTTGTGTAATCCTAGCTACTCGGTGTTAGGTGTTTTTTTTTTCCTTTTTTTGCTTATGTGGTGCTGGGGAATCAAACCCAGGGCCTCAGGCATGCAAGGCAAGCGCTCTACCACTGAGCCACTTTCCCAGCCCCTCGGTGTTAGGTTTTTAAAGAGAGGTAGCCGAGTAAAAACCACACCACACACGTGGTATCCAGGTAAGGGGTAGGTTCATTCATCGTTCTGGCTGGCACCAGGCCATGTTGGCACCACGTGGCTGGGAGAGACCTGGGAAAGAGGGCATCTGTCCCTGGGCTAGGCCTTGTCTAGGGTAGGGGCCAGGAAAGGTATGGCCTCATGGAATCCAGATGTGACCTCAGCGGATGCAGATGTGACCAATTCCAGGTGTGCCAGTTGCCTAGGTAACGCAGGTACTGGGTGGAGACTTTGCTGCGAGGAGGGTGGAGTCTGCTCACCTTCCAGGAGCAGACCTTACACTCAGGAGGCTGAGATCTGAGGACTGTGGATGGAAGCCAGCCTGAGCAGCAACATCCATAAGACTCGTCATCTCCAATTAACTACTAAAAAAGCCAGAAGTGGAGCTGGCTCAAAGTGGTACAGCACTAGCTTTGAGCAAAACATAAATAAATAAATAAACAACTCAAGAGACAATGCCCAGGTCCTGAGTTCAAACCCCATGACCAAAGAAAAAGGGGAGGGGTGAACAGAATTTAGCTGAAATGGGACCAGGTGGCTACTCCCCTCAACCCCTAGTCTTGGGGAGCCATTCTGGATGATCTCAGAGGCCAGGTCTGCAGAGGGAGCAGGGAGCCCCAGGTCAGGGAGGTACAGCATTGCATGACACATGGCTGCCTCATGTCTGAATCCTCAAACCTAGAAGGCTCACAAAGGTGTCCTGCTCAGAGCCCATGGGTGCTGAGCCCCTTTGCTCGGAGTCCACAGCACTGGGGACCGGAGGGGGGAGCGGGGTTGGGGAGCGGGTACCACCTAGGAGGGGCCGCATCTGGGATGTGCTCTGGACTCCCAGGCCAGGCTCATGGTTTGTGAGTGGGAAGGGGTGGGAGAATGCACAGGAAGGAGAAGGCGCAGAAAGTGCCAGGCCCAGGCTGAGGCCTCCACTGGAGGTCCTCCATCTGCAAAAATGGGGTGGGGCCAGGAGACCCATTTGCCCAGTGTTTGTGAGAGGCCAAGTTGAGCTCTGATCCGAGTTCAAGAGGCAGGTGTGGGGGGAGGTGCTGTCACTTTGGCTGCCAGCTTGCTGTGCCTCCCCAAGCTGCCCCACTTCCCTCATCTCAGGACAGAGTCCAGGAAGAAGAGTTGAGGAGGCCGGAAACCAGACCAGAAGACTAGAACCCCCTTCCCCACAGAAAGCTCTGGTGCTGGGGCCAGAAACCCCTGGTGGAGCAGTGGGGAGAGGGGCAGTCGCTGTGTTCTCCCCTCCCCTTTCCCTCCTGCCTCATTCATGAAGCCCATTAGCATTCTAAAGGCTTGGAGAAGCCCCATCTGTGCTTGGGGAGCATGCTCATTTATTTAACCCAGTCTTTCCCAAAATTGCTGGTTTCACCCTGCACAAAATCCCCTTCGCCCCCACAAGAGCCAGCCTAGCCTTGGGGTACACTGTGGGTTTCCCCAGCGTTAACTTGGTCACCCTCACCTCAGATGCAGACATTCTCTAGGGAGCCAGGGCCCTGGAGAGCCAGGCCTGGGCAGCTCAGCAGGTGCTTTTTCTGGCACCCCCCACACCTTCCACCACAAGCTTTGGCCTTGCTTTGGTCTCTCTCAAGCAGAGGGGATTCGGGGACTGAAGGTGAGATGGGGGAGGGGAGAGAGGGGGGGATGGGGAGGAAGGGGGGAGGGAGGGAGGAAAGGTGTTCAGAGCCTGCGCCTCCCCAGGGATTTGGGTCACCTCAGGAGAAGAGGGGTGCTAGTGAGCGGCCCTGCAGGTAGTGAGGAGCAGATGGCCAGGGAGATTATGAAAATCCAGCTTTGTTCTCAGCTGGTATGGCTTAGGCTGGGAGGGGAGGACAGCAGCTGGGCCAAGCCCCACTTGGCATGGGTTTTCTGCCACAGCAGGGACCTGAAGAGCAGAGGAAGCAGGGGAGGCCGCTTGGTTGGGACCAGGGAGCTTCCTCTGCTGGGCCCACTGTCAGCTGCCTGTCCCAATCTTGAGGTAGTAGGGGCAATCAGAACACCCACCTGGCACTGAGGCACCAGGACACCACTGGAGTGTGGCTCTTCATGAACTTGTCTCCATGTGGCCACATGGTTAACAATAGGGATGATAGTGGTGGTGGTGGTGATAGTGATGATGGTGATGATGGTGATGGTGGTAATGGCGATGGTTATGATGCAACAGAGACAGGGACAAATGGGAGGGAGGTGACTGCTCTGTACTGAATTCCTATATAACACGATGTTAACTACATCAGCTGTTCTAGGACTCAACAATGTAGAGTGGTAGAGCTTGGACATGGCTCTGGCTTTGACACTAAAGCAGGGGGGCAAACTCTGTAAAAGGGCAGATGTGGTTAGGTTCAGCTTTCCAGCCTCCACCCCAGCTGCTCAGCCCAGCCACAGGCGTATATCTAGCCACAAATGGCACAGCTCTGCTCAGCAGAACCCCGTTCACAAAACCTACCCAGCTCCCCAGCTCTGCTGTATACCACTGCCCAGAGCATGTGCTCTCTCAGCTCTTGAGCTCCAGATGGCCTTCCTCAGTCAGCCCTTCGTGCAGCTTCTCACTGGGTGATTTGCTTTCTCATCCATTCACACAGCCGTTAGCTTCTGTTTATTACCAACTTAATTATTACTATTATTGAACCTACCATATCTTAAGAAATATTAGAATTATTTATGACAAATGTCACCATATACTATAATTGTGTAGTGACAAATATTATTATTAATTAATATTAGTATTGTTACTAGTGGAAAACCATAGGTTTGGGGATTAGATAAAGCAATGTTGTCATCCTAGTCCATTTGTCAGCTGTAGATTTAACCTCTCTGAGTGTTTTCTCTCCTGGGAGATTCAGAAAAAATGGAAAAGCTTATAGGCCATTAATCCCACATTTGTTCTCACCCCTGGGTTCAAGTTAAAGGTTCTGTCTATCTATTTATTTATTTTTCTTTTGGTCAGTTGTGAGGCTTGAATCCAGGGCCTGAGTGCTATCCCTGAGCTCTTTTGCTCAAGGCTAGCGCTCTACCACTTTGATCCACAGTACCACATTTCCAGTTTTTGAGTGGTTAGTTGCAGATAAGACTCTCACTGGGACTTTCCTGCCTGGAATGGCTTTGAGCCACGATCCTCAGATCTCATCCTCCTGAGTAGCTAAGGTTACAGGCATGAGCCATTGGTACCCAGCAAAGGTTCTATTTATAATCTGAAATGTTATTGACCCCTCAGAGGAAGGATGAAAGGAAGGCCTTTTCAGTAAGTTTTCCTTGCCCTTGATTTGGCTCTGCCCACCTCCATCTTCCCCAGGTGAACCTGTACTCTGAACCGCCCCAGCCCAGCCACAGCAGCAAGGGAACGGTGCCCCCAGGGACCAAGGTCTTGTCCTTCACCATCCCACAGCCCCACTCAGCTGAGTGGTGTCCTGGTACTGACCAGGACCATCAGGCATCTGAGGCCACAGGTAAGTCTGAGAGCTGGGGCTGTCTCTGGGCCTTTGCTCTGGTGGGGAGGTCTTAGATCACCCTGGATGAGCACTAGTTTTAGGTCAGGGGGCGTCAAAACCTCACACTTCCTCTCTGAGTCCTTTGACGGACAGGCCGAACAGGAAGGTGTCCTGACATGAACTAGGATGGCCCACTGTGCCACCTTGGCAATGTGAGATGAAGAGTATGACCGATATTCTGGTTGAAGGGCCCATTGTACAGCCTGCCCTGTACTGAGCATGGTGTGTGTCACCTCGCTTAATCCCAGCAGGGACCTGGTAGCCAGGAAACGGTGGCTCAGAGAGACAAGAGCAAGCTGAAGCTCAGCCCAGCTCCTCAAGGGTGCGTTAGGACTCACACTTGTATCTCCCTGAATCAGAGCCTGCACCACTGGCTCGGAACCCCAGGCTGGTCTGGCTCCGCTCCTCGTAACAGGACCCAGACCTGGTCCTACCTGTACTGGGACAGCCCCTCCCCAGCCCTCTTCCTTGGCTGACGTGGAGATGGCCCAGCTGATGGCCCACGTGATGGTGGATGTGGAGCTCTGCCCTTGGACCCAGTGTTCCTTGGCTGTGTATTCCAGGGTGGCTGACAGCACCAGGAAACTTGAGCCCTTCCTCACCCTCCAACACACCCACTGTGAAGGGGCTCCCAGAGAGCCAGGGCACCACCATGGAGTGGAACCAGGGACTGGCTTCCCAGGCCAGCAGGCTCCTGGCGAAGGTGAGTGAGACCCCACGTTTCGTCCTGCAAGACAAGTCTCACAGGACCTCTGTGAGAGTCCCCTTCCCCCACCTCAGCACCATCTAACTGGGCCATCTGGAAATCTGAACCTCTCCTTCCCCCTGGCTTTGGAAGTCATGTGTCCCCAGCCTCTTCCTTGTCACCCAGGGCTAAGCTGAACCCTACTTTTTGGGTCTCTCTACTTGTATTTGAAAGTGACTCTGGTTTAGTCCCAGGGAGATTCCACTCTGTCTGTAACTCTGCCTTTCCGCTTCGGGACAGATTGCCCCCTTTCTCCGTTGGTTTCTAAACTGGAAGTCCACTCTCAGGTACATCACACAGGGTTTTGATATTTTCCTCAAGCACCCCTGGTCACTGAATTGTGTGCACATCTTTTTTCTACCTACATTCTTGGCCTTCTTCCAGCAGTGCTTATAACAGTTTATGAAACGACATAACATGTTAACCACATTCTTAAAACGGAAGTGAAGAAGCTGGGGGGCCAGACAGGAAGTAAGCATGGAGAAAAACAAATTATAGGGTAAAGTGAGTCAATAAAGTGTTGAGCACTGAATCACAGACACACCTATCTTTTTTGAGCTTCCTAATTTCCAGTGCAAAAATGGACGTGCAGTTATTACAGGCATCAGGTCCATAAAAGAAATTCCTTCAGAGAAACGCCACCCTCACCATTGTTTTTCCATAGCCTCCTCTTCATAATGCCGTGGCATGGCTGTTTTCTGGCCTCAGGCAGTCCCATCAGTTTGCCTGTTCTGAACATTTCATATAAATGGATTCAGACAAACCTCTGCCTTGTGTCTGACTCCTTTCCTTTCCAGTGATGTTTTCAAGGCTCCTCCATTTGTGAGTAGTGGTTTAAGTACCTAATACCTTTTTCTCCCTACCATTTTTGGCCCAGAAACTGGAGAGGAGTTTATTTCTTATCTCACTGTTCATAAAATAAAGCAAAGTCAGAGTGCCATACTTGGCAGGAGCTGAGGTCAACTGACCTCTGATAATCCAAGCTTCACTGTCCAGCATGGCTGACCTCTGTGACTGCTGGTGGAATGAAGAGGTTGATATTGATATAAAATATCAAAGACTAAACTAAAAGTTCAAAGACTAAACGTCAGCTGAGTGCTGGTGGCTTATGCCTGTAATCCTAGCTACTCAGGAAAACTGAGATGTAAAGACTGCAGTTTGAAGCTAGCCTGGGGAGAAAACTCTACAAGATCCCACCTGCAATCAGCCAACAAAAATGCTGGAAGTGTGGTTTAAGTGGTCGAGAGCCAGTTATAAGGGATATCACAATCCTGATAGCCAGTATCCTTAGGCCTATATATCCACAAAGGCCAAGGGTCCAGGAACCTGTCCCCGCTAAATACAAGGGATAGGTATACAAGAAATGTTCTCCATCTTGCCTTCTGTTTCTTCAGTACTGTGTACAGACAGGGCAACTGTACATCCCACCCCCTACTTTGATTGACAGTGAGATCTAGCCTTCGTGGTGGGGATGTGCTCTTCCCTACCCATTCCAGCCACTTGTGGTCAGTGTGGCTTGCAGGTCTCCTGCGGGTGAGCGATTGAGCTTAGTAGGTAATAACTTCCTGGATTTTCCCTGAGGCCCAGCATAGAGTCTATACCCTCCATCCTGAGGCCAGACCCAGCCTTTTGTGCCTAGCATGGTTGTGGCTGGGTGAAGGGCCTCTGGGAAAGTCATGTCCAGGGCCCTGGGCTTCATGAAGCTAATTTTCCTCCCCTCTGTCCAGGTGGATTCCTTTGAAGGACTGATGCAAGAAGGACACCTCACACCTCAGGACCGACTTCAGGTTAACACCCCCCACCCCCGCCCCGCCCCACCGCCATGCAGGAGATACCTTCACTTCTGTCCTCAGGCTGAGTCTGTGACGCCCTTTGCTGTCACACACAGTCCTCCAGACCCAGCGACAGCTCCTGCGTAGCTCCCCAAGAAAATGCTGACCCTCACCACACCTGAATTCACTAAGCCGCATGGCTGCCAGCCACTCTGGTAGCTTTCTACATACAGTACCACAATTTTAGCATCAGAAATACCCACAAGGGAGCTGCATGCACTCCGTTGCTCCCATTTATAACTGTGATGAAGCCGAAGCCCAGAGAGGTGACTTGAAGGCCTTTGAAGGTCACATAGTAGAAGGCAGCAGAACCTGGAGGCTGATCTATTCCTTCTCAAGTCATGATCTCATTCCTAAGTTCAAGGTCATGATCTGTTCATTCCCAAGTTCAAGGTCACAATCTGTTCATTAAATTCAAGGCTATGGTCTATTCATTCTTAAGTTCAATGTCATGATCTATTCATTCCCAAGTTCAAGGTCATGTTCACTACCCTGCACTACTCCCAGTGATCTGCCTACCTCTTGGCCACTAGAAAAGGATCTTTTCTTTTTTTTTTGTATCTCCCTCTTCCCCCAAGTTTGAAAACTGGCTAAAGAGAGGGGAGATGACCCTTTATCTAGCCATGCCTGGTTCTTTTCCTTCTGGACTTTGGAGTTTTGTTATAATGTAGTCATGTATGTACAAAATAGGTTTCTGCTGCTTCAATCAGGCCACAGGAGGGAGCGGGTGGAGCTCTCAGAGCTGTGAGTGGGAGGGACAAAGGTAGGGACTAGTAACATGACTGTTAGCACCTAGGGGGCCTACAGTGACTAGGAAGCCTCAGGAAAACAGCTGCCCCTTAGCCATTCCAGATCCCAGCTGCATTTAACCCATTTCAGTGGGAAGATCTTTAGGGGCCCTCCTCCTAAACAGATCCTCCTCCTCCTCCATGCCCCCCCCCCCGCAAAGCTTGAGGAAATAATCCAGCCCAGGCACAAGGCCCACAACAGAAGGGTTAAGAGGAGCAGAAGGAGTCTCAGAGCGACAAACCCAGGCTCCTTGGTTTATGAAGCCATATTACAGCCTACATCTGTTCCTAGATCGCTCTACAGATGTCATGTACAACTCTGTTATGGAATGTGCAGTATGAGATTCTGCCGTATCCTCAAGCCGATGATCAGGGACTTTGAGAATGAAAACCTTTAAATTTTTTTATACTGCCACATAGGAGCAGCATATCATAATGGCATATGGGGACATTTATAGGGGACAGTGTGAACGTTTGATACATAGACAGTATGCAACCATCAATTCTGGGTAATTCATTTTTCCCTCATAAATAGTGTTTCTTAGTGTTGGGATGCGTTAAACTCCTATCTTCTACCTTTTTAATAGCTACATAATAAATTGTCACATAATAAATTGCTACATAGTAAATTGTGCCTTGAACACTAGGACTTCTCTCATCTAACAGGAGTTTGGTGCCTGCTATCCAGCCTCCCTTCCTCCCCTTCATCCCCAGCTTTTCAGCCTCCAATGACTATCACTGTATGCTTTTCTTCTCTGAGATCATTGCTTTTAGTATCCACATGCGCGAACATGAAGTACTCATCTTCTTCTGTCTGTCTTCTTTCATTGAGTATAATGATTTCCAGATCCCCCTTTCCTGACAAAAACAAACAAACCAAAAACCCAATTCATTTGTTTTCTCTCTGTCTTGATTCCCCATACCTGGGGAGATTGAGAGCTGTTAGATCATGCACAGGTTGCCCTTCACCTCTGTTCCTGGAGTTGAGTGTCTGGGGTGGTAAATGGGGCATGATCACACACACACACACACACACACACGCACGCACGCACGCACGCACACACACACACGCACACACACCGCTTTCTGTGGTGTTACTGGGTAACGATTAGGGTTACATCTACTATGGAGGCCGAGCACAGTTGTTAGAACCAGGAGCTCTGCAGCCAGAGTTCCTGGGTTCAAGTCACGGCTGTAGAACTTGTTCTGCTCACTCTGTGACTTTTTGGTGCCTCTGCTTCCTCCTGGGAAGATAATAAACAATCCCTCATTGGGGGCTTGGGCAGGGAATGGCCGGTTTTCTGATACCCACAGTTTTGCAACATGGAGGATGAAGATTGGGGTGTCTCCAGTACTCATTCCTCATGGGGACACAGGGAGAGTATATTTGGCACTGCAGCTGTCCTGGTACAAGGAAAGGCCATTGCCAAAGGCGTCCAGATCCTACCTTTACTGTACCAGTCTGATGGCAGAGAGCGTGACCTCACGGAGGCATCCATAGAAGGTCCCAGCCTCAGCCCCTGCTGTCCACAGCTCCTCTGTGTCTGTGCTGGCACTGAACCCATGGGGCTTGGGCACTCAGAGCCCTTGATCTGCCTGGTTCCAGGGCTTCCGGCGTCTGAGGGCGGCCTACAGAGGCCTGGAGGATGACTATCTGCAGACCAGCAGGGGGCAGCACCCGGCCACACAGAACACTGGCTCTAAGGGGACACCGGGAGATCCCGATTACTGCAGGTAGGTACTGGAGAGACGGGCCCAGGGAGGGCAGGTGGGCCAGACCTCTAAGAGGGCCCCTGGGCCATCAGGAGATAGACACTTGTCCTCACAATTCATACACAGAGATGGCAGGGAGAACTCCATTCCAATTAGCCACATGTCCACAGGGTGGGATCAAGAGATGAGAAGATGAGACGGCACCTCAGACATGAGCTAGACATTAGGGAAACTGAGGCTAAGAGGACTGGGATTTCCCTAGGTCACACAGCCTGGGGATGGCAGAGAGGAGCCAGATGAGATCTCTTGATTTTCAGTAGAGTCTCTTTCTTCTCTCGAGTTCTCAGAATCATCCAGTGGTGTCATTGGGTGGACCATGAATGGGTTTCCTGCCCCATCTCTCCCAATGTGGCCACCGGCCTGGACCCCCATGCTGATACTTCCCCCTTCCAGGGAGCTGGAGGCAGAGATTCGCCAGCTGAGGATGCGCTTGGAAGAGCTGCAGGACCACATGGGTTGGAACCAGCATGAGCTGGCACCATCTGAGCCAGACCCAACCCAGGATAGCGCCTCAGCCACATCCCTGTCCTGCCAGCCAGCACGCCTGCTCACTCCTTTGGGAATGGTCCCCACAGCAGTCATGCAGAGCCCCTCCTCCGAGGTACCCCCTTTTGTTCTTTTCACATTAATACTTGCATTACATTTGTCAAATGTCAGGACTCCTTTTTGTATTTGTTTGTTTGGCAGTACTGTGAACTCAGGGTTTCTAGGTAGGCACTCTACTGCCAATTCATACCTTCAGTCTTTTTTTTGGCTGGGCCTGGGGCTTGACTTCAGGGCCTGGGTGCTGTTCCTGAGCCTCTTTGTGCTCAAGGGTAGTGCTCTACCGCTTGAGCCATAGCACAACTTCCAGGTTTGTTTATTTTTTTTATTTATTGGAGAGTCTCATGGGGACTTTTCTACCCAGGCTGGCTTCAAACCACCATCCTTAGATTTTAGCCTCTTGAGTAGCTAGAATTATAAATGTGAGCCACCAGCAGTCAGCCTTCAACTGTTTTTCTTTACTCTGTGTGTGTGTGTGTGTGTGTGCCTTTAACTGTTTTTCTTTACTCTGTGTGTGTGTGTGTGTGTGTGTGTGTACATGTACGTGTGTACCAGTACTGGGGCTTGAACTCAAAGCCTGGGAGCTATCCCTGGGCTTTTTCTTCCCGCACCCCCCCCCTCTTTTCCTCTCAGCTAGTGCTCTATCGCTTGAGCCACAGCTTCACTTCAGGCTTTCTTGATGATTAATTGGAAATGATAGTCTCAGGGACTTTCCTGCACAGGTTGACTTGGAACCACAATCTTTATATCTCAGCTTCCTGAGTGGCTAGGATTATAGGCATAAGCCTCCAGTGCTTGGCTTAATTGGTTATTTTTAAGATAGCAACTCACTTTTCATCCAGACATACACCTTGGCTGTGATCCACCTGTTTTTAACCTTCCCATTGTAGCTGAGAGAGCGGGCACACCCCACCATATCCAGTTTCATCTGTGGAGATGGAGTTTTGTGGACTTTTCTACCTGAGCTGGACTGAAACTCTGATCCTCCCAATCCCAGCCTCCCACATAGCTAGGATGAGCAGGTGTGAGCCACCGGCACCCAGTTTTAAATGCCAAGGCTCTTATCATGTGGTGGGATTGGAGGGGAAGCAGTGGAGGCCACAAAGGTGACCTCTATCTAACCTCTCAGAGTTTCTGAATAGTTGAACTAGGTACAGACTTGTTGCCATTGTAATTTTGAATTGTACTCTGAAGGACCATTAAAGAGTTCTGATGAAAGAAGGGAACAGAGCAGTATAACTGGGACCATGGTCTCTGAAGAAGTAAAGTTTATATGAGATGTGAGGGTAAGTGGGAATTACTCGGCACAGGAGGAGATAAATCGTCCAGCAGGGGAAAGAGCCTATGTAAGGGGCCTGTGGCTAGAGTAGGAAAATGGGTGGGGGTGAGGCAACAGTCGTAAGAGGTGTCTGGAAAGTCAGGCATGAGTGTGGTGGTGTCTGGGCTTGGCAGCCTCAACTTGAGCTTGGTCTAAAACTCTTCTTGAATTTTCATCAAGGAGTGACATAAGGGATTTGTAGGTAGACAAGTTTGAGGCTGGGCAGAGAACGAGACACACACACACACACACACACTCACACAGGTTTGTGAACTTGCAAGAGCTTCAGAAAGTATGTTAAATGGCAGTGAGAGGAAAGGGAGTCAGGTGGCTTCAGGTCACCTGCGGGGCGGTGGGGCTGTGTGCAAAGGTAGAAGGGGCCCTGCAGGCGTCTCCCACCCCCTCGAGCCCTTGCAGGATGGTGGCTAGGCCCCTGTGGCAGGTGAGCAGGGTGTGTTGTCACATGGATGGAAGACAGTGGTGGGCTTTCTGTGCCTGTGGGGCCTGGAGCCAGATGGCGGGTGTTAGGTGGGTGGGTGGAAAGGGCCTGGTCCCTGGCAGGGCATGTGTGCCAGCCGATGCCCCGCTGGCCCCAAGATGTGGAGGAGAGCTCAATCTGTGCTCTGTGCAGAGGCTTGGATGGCTCCAGCAGGTGGTGTTTCCTGTGTGGAGGGGAAGCTGAGGGGCTCTGTGCTCTTGCAGTAGAGGTTTCGGGGGTGGGAGGTAGCGGGTATCCAGACTAGGATAGAGTTGGGGAAGGATTGATGCTGCTAGCAGGAAATCTGGACAGTTCCTCCCCTTGCTACTTTGGGATGTGTGTGGCCACTCTCTGGAGCCTTGGGAAGTCATATCTGGAGGGTGGCTGGCATTCGTGACAGGCAGTTCAGAAAAGCACATGTACATGCATGCAAATGGCAGTCGCCCCACACATCCAGCCTGTGTTCCATTCAGTGCTGTGCACGAGCCTGGTGTGGCAGGTGTTTAATAGCTGCTTCTTCCACCTCTCTGGCCCAGCTCCCTGCCCCTGCTGGCCCGTGCCCACCACCTGTGGATGTGGAGCTGAGCCCCCGGAGCAGCGAGGGGGAGGGCAGCCTGCGGGACCTCCCAGCCCCACTCAAAGGCAAGGAGCTGCAGATGGAGCAGGATTTCCACGGCCTCCTGGATCGGTAGGTGCCCGCCTGCCCCCTGGCCCTCTGGTGAGTGTCAGACTTGGGGCCAGACCTCCCCGCTCTGGGCAGAAGTCACACAACACTCCCGGGTACACTACCTCAGGTACCTCAGCATGAAGTCCCTCCCAGAAGCCTTGAGGGTGGAGGAGGAAGTGGAAGAAGAGGAAGGGGAGGAACACAACAAAAAGCCCAAGAAGGAGGACAGTCTTTACCCCCTGGAAGTTGATGGAGCAGCTTTAGCAGGAGGGAGAATGGAAGCCACTCACGTGACCCCAAGGCAACACCCAGTGCAGGCTGAGAAAAGTCACAGGTAAGTCACTGAGTCTGCTCCGTGGATGAGTGAAATGGCTCTTAGTATAGTCCTGTGGTCAACCTGTCCCGCGTCTCTATGGTGTGGTATTAAATGCCACCAAGAACACCAAAAAATGCTTTGGGTTACCAGGGGATATGTCTTAAAAAAATTGTTGTTATAAAGGTGATGTACAGAGGGATTAAATTACATAAGTCAAGTAAACAGTCCATTTCTTTTTTTTTTTTTTTATATTTTTCTTTTGGATCCGGTCATGGGGCCTGAACTCTGGGCCTGGCACTGTCCCTCAGCTCTTCAGCTCAAGGCTAGCGCTCTACCACTTGAGCCACAGCACCACTTCCAGCTTTTTTCTTTTTGCTTATGTGGTGCTGAGGAATTGAACCCAGGGCCTCTGGCATGCAAGGCAAGTGCTCTACCACTGAGCCACCTTCCCAGCCCTGACAGTCCATTCCTTTTTGGACAGTGTTCCCCCTTCCCTCACTCTCTTCCAGTTTTTCTCTCCATCCCTACCCACAAGGTACGTAGTTCATTTTCAACACAGTGTCTAGTGAGTACCACTACTGTATTTGTTCACCCTTTGACCCTCCATTTTTGTGCCTCACCTTATCCTCCCAAAGACAGATAAAGGAACAAATAAGACAAAAAGAAAAGAAAACAGAAACAACAAAGGAAAAACCTCTTATGTTCATTTCCTAAAGTTCATTTTGATAAATAGAATCTTATAGGATCAGAGGCATTGTGCCCTTGTGTTCGTCACCTAAGAGTATGCTCCTTTGGTCTCACTGTGTGTGAATGCAGAGTCCCGTGTAGTTTGTCGTGTCCTGGTTTATTTTAGATCTAGTTTCCACATATGAGACAAAACATGAGCCATTTGTCTCTCGGACCATGGCCTTACCTCACTTAAGATGATTTGTTCTAGGTCCATCCATTTCCCTGCAAATGATATAATATTTTTCTTCCTAATGGCTGTGAAAGAAATTCCATTGTGTATAGGTACCACATTGTTTACATTCACTCATCTATTTGTAGGGCATCCATAACTTGGCTATTGTGACTACTGCAGCAATGAACATGGGTGTGCATGAATTGTGTCTTTACCATAGCCTGACTGGTAATGCTCTAGATAGATGCTCAGGAGTGGTATGGCTAGAACATAGCTTTAAGTAGAACAGATGTACACTAAATAGCCTGATTCCCCTTTTGTTTTGTTTTCTGACTTGGGAATGGTACCAAGGAAGAAGTCTCAGTTTAGTGCTAAGGTGTCCTTATCATCCCTCCTGATCTTCCTTTGAAAAGAGGCAATGAATGGAGGCAGTGTGGTGGGCGGGGAGGTAGGCTGATGGGGCAGGGAGGCCAGCTGTACAAGCAAGCATACAGTCTCGCCAGATTGTGCAGGTAGAACCTTGGGCAGGCACCTCAGTCCTCTATCCAGGACAGGAGCCATGTGTTTGCAAAGTTGTTTCTTTCTGTAACAGAGTTCCATTCTGCTCTTCTATGCAGAAGGAGGGGGGAGGCCTGCAGACTCACTTGGTCTGGGAAGTGCTGCTTCTGCCTGTGTTCCCTGTGTTCTGAGGAGGGTGGGTTTGTTGCCACTCTCATTTTACGGTTATAAGAACTGAGGTTTGGAAAAGAGAAATTACTTCCCTAAGGCCATGCTGCGGAAACATAGCAAAGCCAGGATGGGGAACTCCAGGCGTATCTGACTCCGGAGTCCAGCTGCAGGTCCAGGCGGCCTGGCTCATGTCAGGCCTCAGGGACTATGTGCTTCTCCTCCTCCCCAGGGATCCCTCAGAGCCATCGGCCTTCCAGACATCTGTGGCCAGGCACAGGTACGCGCCAGGACTGGGCAAGACACAGGCGGCTTCTGCAGGACGTGGCATGGCACCCAAGTCCACAGCATGCCAGCAGGGCAGTATGGCCAGCCTGGAGGGCAGCGGCACCTCGGAGCACTTTGCACATAAGACTCTGTGCCAGGCTAGAGGACTCCACAGAGAGGTCAGTGTACACCAGAGGCTGGCTCCCTGTGTCTCCCGAGCAGTACCCCTGGGCCTTTGCTCAGGCTGGCTTTGGTCATCCCCGCTAGCCGCCATCCAGCCTCTCCTTCAGGGCTCAGGCCCAGGGTCACCCCAGCCTCCTCCTCTGCCAGATTCTTCTGCCTGTTTTCCCCTGTGCCTCCATGTCACCACTGGGAGCTAATTCTTTTCTTTTGTGCTAATCCTGGAGCTTGAACTCAGGACCTGGAAGCTGTCCTTCTTGAGCTTTTATGCTCAAGAGACAAGAGCTAGCACTCTACCACGTTGAGCTACAACTTCAGTTCCAGTTTTTTGTTGTTGTTGTTTTCCTGGTAATTGGAAATAAAAGTCTCACAGATTTTCCTGCTCAGGCCAGCTTCAAACCTGTCTTCTCGGATCTCAGTTTCCTGAGTAGTCAAAATTACAGGGGTGAGCCATTGGGCTCCCAGCTAAGCTAGTTGTTGTTTGCATCATCGAGCAGTAATTCGGATAAGTAGAAAGACCACAGACAACTGTGGGAATGTGACTTGGCTAAAGACCTTGTCATCAAAAAGCACCTATTTGTGCGTGGATGAATATACACATGCACACAGACATGCACACACACACACGGTAGTCAGGGGTTGGCATTAGGGCACAAGTTCACAGGTGCCTGTGTGGCTTGTGTGCATGCTATGGAACCCAAACGTTGGGCTGTATATGTGTGATGCAATATTTTCCCTGTGCATTGGGCCTGAGCATTTTTTTCTTTTTTAAAAAAATTGTTATGATAAAGGTGATGTACAGAGGGGTGACAGTTACATAAGTCATGTAAAGAGAACATTTCTTTTTGGACAATGTCCCCCCTTCCCTCACTCTCAGTTTTCTTCCCCATCTCCACCCATATGCTGTATAGTTATTTTCAACATAGTATCTAGTAAGTACCACTGCTGCTTTTGTTCACCCTTTGATTTCTGTGCCCCCACCATATCCTCTCAACACACAAACATGACCAAAGGAAAAGAAAACACAAAACATCAACGAAGAAAGAAAACCCCGTTTTCCATTCCTTGGAGTTCATTTCAATAAATATTATTTTATATGATTGGGAAAGGCACATAGGCCTTGAGCCTTTGGGTTCCTCTCCTTAGAGTATCCTTTGTTCTCACTGTGTGTGAATGCCTGGAGTCCCCTGTCTTTTAGGTCTAGTTTCTGCTTATGGGCCTGAGCATTTCTGCAGTTGCATGAGATGATAGTTTGTCAGGGTCATGGCAGAAGATGCCAGAATAATACTTCTCTTCTTTCTCCTCCTCCTTCTCCTCTTCCTTCTCTTCTGGCCACAGGCTATATTCCCAAAGTCCCATATCCCAGCCCTCAGGGCGGCCAGGCCTGCCTAGGGCAGGATTGTCCAGTGTGGAGTCCCTGCTGTGAGCCACGTGGCTTGTGTTAGGGCCTGGTTCTGGGGCCCAAGAATATGGGCAGCCCCCTGGTATGTGAAGCTAGGCCGGGATCTGGGAGGGGGTCCCCGCTGTCCTGAAATACATTCCTCAGATTTAAAAGCTTTCTGCCTCTTCCAGGAGCCCTGGATGGCCTCCCCTGAAACAGACAGTGGCTTCGTGGGCTCAGAAACCAGCAGAGTGTCACCCCTAACCCAGACCCCAGAACACCGCCTCTCCCACCTCAGGTATCCCAGGACCCTGCCACCGGGCCATCTGTCACACTGGGATGGCCCCAATTAGGGGGCCAGTGGTCTCTGCATTTGCAGGCCCCCATTTACCCTCCATCAGTGTTTTTTTCTATCTTATCCACTGAGGCTCAGAGAGGGGAAGTGACTTGCCCAGTGTCCCCCAGCTCCATTTAGTGTCAGACTTGGGAAACGCATCCTTACTGAGCAAATGAATGAGTGAATGAATTAAAAGCTATGGGGAGACCAGCATGAGAAAGACAGAGGGTCCTCAGGGGAGCTGTGGGGAGAGACAGGGTAGAGCCTAAAAAGAATGAAAGAGAGTGGAAGGAGGTGTGTGTGAGGGGTGGCGTGATGGCAAGGATGCTGGTATCTCCAGGGCGGGTTGGCCCAACCCAGGGATGCACATGAAGACAGGCCTAGAAATGTCCAGCAGCATCATTCTCACGCATGGACTGCCAGCTGTGCCGCTGCCACCGCTGGCTCCACAAATAAGATAAGCCCTTGAGTCTCCTCGGGTCCTCAGGGATTGTTGCCCGGCAGGACACAGAGTTGCGAAGTCTGGGAACTCACCGTGTAGGCTCTGGAGGGGTTCGGGAGCCAGGGCAGGCCCAAGGCCCCTGCGTGTGACCTCTCTGTACTTGTCTGTCAGCATTCCAGGAAGCCTAGCCCACCCTGTCATTGCATCTGCCCTCCCTTCCAAGCCCAGGGGTCCCGTGATCCCCAGGAAAGCTGCGGAGCCCAACACACCCAGGAACCGAGCCCAGAGGCACCTGCCCACCCTGAGCCTCCCTGCCCGCCAGGGAGCCCTCGGTTCCCACCTGGAGCGGGCCACGGGGGCCAAGATGGGTGAGTAGGAGGAAACTGAGTCAGCCAGAACCTGCATGAGTTAAAAGAAAATCAAATGATCAGGACATCTTGCATAGCCTCATGTCGGGAAAGAGTTGGAGGTTGGGTAGGGAGGACAGGAGGAGTAAGGTAGGAAGATTCACGCAGACTTCAGACAGATGTGGAACCACGTTCCATGTGTATGCCAGACTCCCTGTCTTATCAGTCATGCGTTCAATCCTGGCCACATTCCAGGCCTGCAAGGTCAATAAGGGTCAGGTTTTTAACCTTTAGAAAATACACATGAACTTTCAGCTGAAATGAAACAAGCCTATCTTGTTATCTCCAATTTACTATAAAAAAAAAAAAAAAAGATGAGAGTGGAGCTGTGGCTCAAGTAGTAGATCTTTAGCCTTGAGTAAAAATGCTCAGGGACAGCACCCAGGTCCTAAGTTCAAGCCCCAGCACCAGCACCAAAAAAAACTCCAAACAACCAAAAACAAAAAAACACACCTTTGTTCTTTACTTTCTAATTGCGTATTAATTGTAAAAGGCTTTTTATGTTTTTTATTCATACTGGGATTTGAAATGAGAGCCTCATGATCACTCAGCTTGCTCATGGCTGGTCCTCTACCACTTGGGTCATGCCCCTAGCCTGGCTTTGCTGGTTCATTGGAGATAGCTTGCAGACTTCTTTTCCCAGGCTGGCTTCAGCCTGTGATCCTCTGGATCTCAGCCTCCTGAGTAGCTAGAATTACAGTTGTGAGCCTCTGGTGTTGGATTTAAAAAAAAATCAAACTTTATTTTTAATTGAAGCTTTTTTAATTTGGCGTTTTACTTTGAGATAACTTATACAGCTCTCAGAAAGAATAAGTGCACAGATACCCTGGGCCTTTCCCATTTCCCTTGTGAGTACTGTCAGAGCTGGGAGTCAGCCCTGGAACAGTCAAAACACAAACCTGGGCAGGGCCACCAGGGGCTGCTGCCCCAGGCACGTGTGTATATGCCAGTCCTGAGGCTTGAACTCAGGGCCTGGGTGCTATCCCTGAGCTTTTCTGTTCAAGGCCAATCAGTGCTCTGATTTTTTGTGGTTAATTGGAGCTAAGTCTCATGGAACTTTCCTGCCTGGGCTGGCTTCAAACTGGGATCCTCAGATCTCAGCCTCCTGAGTAGCTAGGATTTACAGGTATGAGCCACCAGTGGCCAGCACAGCCCTGTTTACTTACCACCCACACAATGGAAGCTTCTAGATCATCTCTGCTGCCCCCTGACACTCGTATTGTTCTCTCTGCATGCCTAGTGGTCCCCGGCTCTGAGTTTGAGGGGCAGAAGCAGATTTCCGAACAGCTCCCCCACAGGACGGCCCACCCAGCCCCCACCCTGCCCCCTGCAGCAGCCTCCCCGCTGCTCCCTGGGCTGCTCCCTGGACGGGCTGAGAGCTCCCCCAGCCTCCTCACCACCAGGACAGCACGAGAGTAAGTGGGACACTGGGCTGTTGGGGTCCAGCCTCATTACAGGGTGGAAATGGAGGCCCAGGGAGGCCCAGGCCGCCTTGCCTCTCTCTTACACACTCAGGGCCCCTTGGGGCTCTGGCTGTTATTAGAAGCTGGGTCTTGAGTGGAGCACTGAAGACTACGAAGCTGAGGGGAGACCTGGGCATCAGGATGGTGGCTCTCTCAGAACAAGCATCTGAGAATTTTCAGTGAATACTTAAGTCCCATTAGAACTTGTGAGACAGGTTTGGGCCAAAGAGTGTAGGGTCAGGGATGTGTGTGAGTGATCCATACACATATATACATATGTATGGATATATCTGTATACACACATATTTAATTTCTTAGTACCAAAGTTTGAATCCAGGGCCTCACAAGTACTAGGCTGGAGCTCTACCACTTGAGCCTTTCCTCCAGACCTGCTTTTTGCTCAAGGAGAGCGCTCTACTGCTTAAGTCACAGTGCCACTTCTGGTGTTCTAGTGGTTTATTGGCTATAAGAGTCTCACAGACTTTCCTGCCTGGCAACTTCCAGATTTTTGTTCTGTTTTGTTTTGGGGTTTTGTTTTTGTTTTCTTGGTAGTTAATTGGAGATCACAGCCTGGGCTGGCTTCTAACTACAGTCCTCAGATCTTAGCTTCCTAAGTAGCTATGATTAAAGGCATGAACCACCAGTGCCTGACTTTTGTAGTTCTTTTTGAGATAGATTCTCCTGGACTTTTCTGCTCTGTGTGTCCTCAAACTACCATCCTTTCTATTCTCAGCTTCCCAAATGTCTAGGTACAGGTGTGAGCCACTGGCACTTGGCTGGTGTATAGTTTAGGGAGGGCTGGGAAGGCTGACCGATGGAGAGGGAGGATGGCTAGCTGGGCGGGGAGGAAGGCACATTCTCAAATGTGTTTCAGCAGCCAGGCCCATAGGACTTGGAGCTTACTGTACTCAGGAAAAGAGAAGGATCTAGAAGATTCCAAATTCCAGCTGGCCAGTCATTAGAATGCCACAGTCTTGAACAGGTTTGAAGGATGAACGTGCCAGGAAGATGGGTTTCAGAGCCAGCTGGTCATTAGTCACTAAAGGGTTAAATCAGAAGCCCTAGAACTTGACCAGGCTCAGTCCCAGCACTGGGCCCAGGAGCCCAAGCCCTGCCTCCCAGGGGTTAAGCTGCTAGGGACAGCTCAGCTCTCCTGCAGCCCCTCCCTCCCCGGTGGTTGGCGTGGAAACCCCAGCAGCGTCTCCCAGGGGGTTGTTGCCTGGAAACCCCCTCCCTCCCATACATACACACAGCGCTCTGGGGCCTGGCCTGAGAGAACACTCCACACTCTCCTCAGAGACTGTTTGCTGGAAGGATGTCAGGAGATATCTACCCATGAGTCAAGGGGTCACCAGGCAAGAGCTGACCCTGGGAGAGCCCCCCATCAGCCTAGACAACCATGCCAAGCTTGGACTCTCACACTACTCTGTGAGAGGGGATTTGTGCATGGGAGTTCTGCGGGTGGGGGTATCTAGGTGGAATTCACTCTGCATGGGGGTCTATAGGTAGGAGTTCTGTTGCAGGGGTATCTTGGTAGAATCCACTCTGTGCATGAAGGGGGTCTGTGTGTAGGGGTTTACGGGTAAGGGGTCTGTAGGTGGGAGTTCTGTGGGCTGGGGTGTCTGGAAAGAATCCACTCTACATGAGGGGCTCTGTGTGTAGAGGTGTGTGGGTCAGGAGTCTGTAGGTAGGAGTTCTGTGTGTATGGCTGTGGGTGTGGATGTCTGGGCAGAATTGTCTAATGCCCGAGCTATGAAAACAGAAAGTCTCCCTTTCAGGATGAGATATTGAGTGTACCAGGGGCTCACAAGGTCCCAGAAGCTTTACAGACAGTGCCCATTCCCCTAACCTGCTCCCTTCACCGTCTATGCTGGAAAGTTTTGCGTCTCTTTGTCAACATTTCTTTTTTTCTTCTATTAGTCATGGGGCTTGAGCCTCAGGGCCTGGGCGCTGTCCCTGAGCTCTTTTGTTCTAGGATAGCGCTCTACCACTTTGAGCCACAGCGCCACTTCCAGTTTTCTGGTGGTTTATTGGAGATGAGTCTCACAGATTTTCCTGTCTGGGCTGGCTTTGAACCACAATTCTCAGATCTCAGACTCCTGAGTAGCTAGGGTTGCAGGCGTGTGCCACTGGCACCCGGCTCCTTGTCTACATTTCCACCACATCTTTGGGTATTCACTCAGAAACTCGGGGTCTTGTCCACTGCTGTCTCTGAGCATAGTGACGGGAAAGGGCTGGTGGGGAGAGTATGAGATGGGGATCTTGGTCCCTGCCTGCCTTGCTTCGGGTTAGGGAGACAGACAGACCAGCCTTGTCTGCCAGGAGTGGGGGAGATGTAGATTCTATCTGAGGGAGTTCAGGAGGGAGGCACCAAGAAAGAGCAGCAAAGGGCTGGCCCTGTGGGAACAGGGTGCCGGGGCAGGTCTGAATGGCAAGGTCACAGTGGACCTGTGGCTCACATCCTCTTTAACTGCGCGTCCCTACCGCCGTCGTGAAAACCCAAGGTGGGGTGAACAGCCATTCTGACCCCGCACACTGGCACCTTAACCTGGAAGGGAGATCCCCATTTCCACGTGGAACTCACAGCGTCATGAACTCAGGAAGGTGTCCAGAGGTGGAAAAATGAGGGGCCAGGAAAGTTCCAGGATCATTAGACAGCAGAGGTGTGCCCTGTGCCTATTGGAAAGGAACAAAGGCAACCACATCCAGGCTGCCCAGGGACCCTCTACTGCTCGGTTCCGGGTACAACTCTTCTTTGCTTCTCTCTCTCCCCCTGATTTCCTTCACTGCAGTCAGGCCATCCGAGATCTGCAAGCAGAGGTGTCCCGGCTTCGGCTCCGGCTGGAGGATAGCCTGCACCCGCCCTCCCAGGGCAGCCAAACACAGCCAGGATCCGCCTTTGAAAGCCCTTCCCGGACCTGGGGCCCGCTGACAGGTTCCTCTGTCACCTGGGGCTCCCACTGTGGCAGGTAAGTGTTCTCACAGCTCCCACTTCTGTGCCGTGGTCATTACCTCTAGTGGCCCAGGATCTCCCAAGATAGGTGGGGAGACCCAGAGATGGCCATTTCTCTCTCTTCTTTTTCTTCATGTGTCATATTTCTTACACAAAAGAATATCTATTTGAGCATGGTGGTTCATGCCTATAATCCCAGTTGTTCAAGAAATATAGATGGGGAGGATCAGAACCCTCAGCCTCACTTGTTGGCCACACCTGGTGACGTTGGTTTATCCCATCAACTCAATTTCTTTGAGCATTTCTATAGAAGACATTGGGTTAGCAAGATATCACCTCATTAATCCTTCCAGTCCCCTGCTGCAGCCATAACTCTTGTCCCCACTTAACAGATGAGGAAACTGAAGGTCAGAGAGGCCCAGAGTCACTCTTCGTGAGACCTACCCGAGTCTGTGGTTTGCCTCTTGACCACCACGTCCCAACCCCTCCAGGTTGGCCGGGTCTCAGGTCACCGGCAAAGGTGACACGAAAACCTCACTGTGTGCTGTCATCTCCCCTTTGCTAGTAAATCCACAGAGAGGCTGTCCGGGGAGCATGAAGACACCGAGCAAGCTGTTTCCACAGGAAGACACCGGACCAGATCCTCCTCGGTGCCTCGGGAGATGCCCCGACGGTCCCTGAGTAAGTGACCACCGGCCAGGACTGTGGTCTGGTGGCCACAGGGTGGTCAGGGACCCCAGTGGGTCGGGACGTTCGGAGAAACCTGTAGGAGGTGGCCCTGTGTCTGGTAGACTGTCATCATGCCGCAGACAAGGGTTTCTGACCACAGCCCTGCCTGGGCCTTGCTGGGCTGTGGGCCTACTTTCTGCAGATATTGACACGGAAGACCAGAACTCCAGGCTTGGTTTGGTGGCCAAAGTGCAGCTCTGGGATCTGTGCTGGGATGCAACCTAGCCCTTCGGTGCTGCCCTTGGCTGGGTTGAACACCTGCTCTGACCAGACTAGGACAGCTAAACTGAGGGGCTAGTTTCTCAGTGTCTACCTCCCAGGTGTGGATGGCACATGCGCTCTTTCCTGGTCCAAGGAGCTCAGGGCTGAGCTTCTGGAGGCAGATCCAGGATCAACACCCAGATGTCATCCCAAGCCCCAACCCTATAGAACTCCCGTGCCTCACGCGGAGAGGAACCTCCTCCCAGCCCCCTCTGAGGCCTCTCTTTCCATCTCAGGTTCAGAATCTGCAGTACCCTCCCCTCGGCTGTCATCTGAGAAGAGCAAGACCACTGAGCACCAGCTCCAGGCAGAGCAGGAGGGGACCAGACAGGCAGGGCATGCCAGACAAAAGGACAGGGCCTCCCTGCGGGGCCAGTATACAGGTCAGCTGGGAGGGCGCTGGGGTGGATGCAGTCCCCAGCGCCATCTCCTCTGCCATGACAAACCTTTTTCATGTACCATGCGCCCCTGACAGCTCGGTGGCATGTCCCTGTGATAGAAAAACTTTAGGAATGTCAGTACCCTGCCTTCTTTATTCACCAAACAGACACAGTGCTGATTCAAGTGCCCGCCTTCATTCATTCACTCACCAATCAGACACAGTGCTGATATAACTGCCCGCCTTCTTCACTCACCAATCAGACACAGCCTGATGTCTTCCCCTGGATCAGGACTGTGCTTAGTTTTAGCATCTCTAAGTCCCCCTTTTATACCCTTTCAGAAACACCTCTTAAGTCCTCGTCTGAGGCATTCAGATCCAAACCAGCAAGTGGGGGTACAGGAAGAGCACCCCTCTTTTTCACATTTCTACTGTGTCTGTGCACACTCATTTGCATGTGTCCAACTACAATGTGTGTGCCCCTAGTGTGTTCACAGAGATGGTCAGGGAGGACACATTGTAAACCCCAAAGCTCCTTAGTTCTGGGTCCACTCAGGGTATCACATTGCTTGCTTTGTTCCCCAGGTCAGGAGTACCATGTTCTGTCCCCCAAGGCTGTCCCGAGGGACAGTGACGTAGCCTCCTGTCCCTACTGCCAGCCCATGAAGACCCAGGACGCGGGTAAGGGAAGGCACCTTGAACAACTGCGCCTATTGGGAGTGTGTAGCAGGCTGGGCATGAGCATTTGAGGTGCGAGGAAACTTAGGATCCAAGACATTCAGTGTCTTGCCTGAGGTTACCAGCTTCCAAGTGGTAGAGCTAGGATTTGGACTGGAGACTTTATAACTCCAGAGCCCTGGCTTCTCATCCCCTTGGTTCTCTAAGGCCTTGGTTAGAGCCCTTGGGCCTCTCCATTCATTCATTCACTCACTCATTTATTCATTCACATAGTGCCTACTCATAGTGGGCCTCGGACCCTGTTCCCCAAGGAACCGATGGCAATGTATAGTGGCTGGCACCACGGTGGGAGACATCGAGAGGGTTGGGGGAACACAGCTGTGTAATGGGGGGCTGCCAGACTGCCTGGAATTCCCAGGTATGGCAAGGGGGTGACAGGACAAGGAGCCCACATCTACTGTCCCCTGTTCCCTTGGGCCTCCTGGACTGAGGTTCCTGGGTGACTTTCTTGGGCCTCCCCGTATGGAGACTGGGTCTCACTCACCGACAGCAAAGACTGCTCTCTGGAGAGAACCAGGCTTGGAGTCAGATTGCCCCTGCTTTTCAGCCCTGAGGCTCTGGCACTCCACTGTTAGAGAACCTCAGGTTCTCCAAGCGTAGACTAGAGTGGAGCATGGTGCCAGCCTGTGGCCTGCTGGGTGTGATTGAGCTGCTGGCTCAGTGGCCCATAGCAGAGCAGTGTACACTGGCTGAGGCATTGTCGTCCCTGCCCCCCCCCCCCGCCCGGGTGAGAGGTGGCCATGTCCTAAGTGTCTTTAAATAACTCAGTACTCAATTTCTGACTGTACAGATGCAGCGTCTCCTGCCTCTGAGCCTCTTCCAGACAGTGCGACCGCTAGTGACCCACCAGGACAATCTGCCACGGATGTCCTCCGCTGCCCACTGTGTGGTCAGATGGGGTCCCTTGCAGAGGAAGGCAACCCCGCCTCAGCACCCTCTGGTAGGGAACAAGTGTTTGCTGACCTCTTTCAGCCCCGCCCAATGCTTGGGGGAACTTGGCAAACAGGGCAGGAGGCTTGTTTCTCAGGGGGTCACCTGCCACCTGCCAAGGGCGGTCCAAGACCCTGTGTTGGAGAGGGCCATTTGCAGCTTTCCCAAGCCTCCGGATTTTTAATTCTGTGCTGTTTCTTCCCCAGCAGGACTGGAGAAAACCACCACCAGGAGAGATGCAGCTCCCGCCTCCATCCCCAAACGGAAGAGCAGGCGGAAGGACTCACCCACCCAGCCACCCCCAGGACTGTGGTACCTGGCAGCCACACCCCCAGTGACGGCCCCGCTGGCCTTCGCCTACATCATGCCTTATCCACCCGCCACTGTGTGAGTCTTTGCTCCCACCGGCCTTGGCCTCTGTCTGAATCGAGAAATTAGCGTTCATACCTGCCCAGGTATCTGAACAGCCAGGAACTCCAGCACACGCTCACGATCTACCTCTTGTAGTCACTCCACAAACTCCAGTTTCTCTGTCATCAGATATCACTTGGCCCTGGAGACCCAGCGGGGAAGGAGGCCCGCATGAGGCCCCTGTCCCTCAGAGTTGGTGGCTTCTTGGGGACCAAGAGCCCTAAGCGTCTTCCATTTCCTTATGGGTTGAGGACTTATTTTTAGTAGACTTTCTTTTGGGGGTACTTTGGGGGGTCTGGAGGAGTTGAGCAATGGTATGGAGACCCCTGTGTGCCTGCCTTCATCTCCCCTGTTTCTCGCATCCTGAATTCATGGGATGTCACCATGAGGGAGCCAGTGTAAATGCATTCTCAGGCCTTTGTGTCTGGTCCTTTCGGTCTTTTCCATCCCATCCAGCACCCCACCCTTTGTCATCGTCCCCCTCTGGTTGCGCTCAGAGCGGCATTTGTTCGGTCTTGCCCCCCTGTCTCCAATGCCCCTGGCAGGTGGACTGTGGGATGGGTGCTGTCTCTCAAGATGGAACAGAGGACAGGAGGAACACATACCACATGGGTTTCAAGAGTTCTGCAGAGTACTTTGCTTCTGAGCCTCAGTTTCCCCCTCTGCTCAGTGCGGGAGGGGACAGTGGGGATGCTGAGACATGGTCAGGAAGCTGGGGCTGTGACCCTGCGGTTGGGTTTACTAAGCTAGGACTAAGGGGAGGGCCCTCGCAACTCCACCTTGTAGTTATATTCTTGACATTTTCATTAGTTAAAGGAATTGGGCCAACTTGACTTCATGATTAACTAGCAAAAAGAAGCCCAGGCCAAGCCAGGAGCTGATGGTCACACTTGTAATCCTAGCTACCCAGGAGGCGGAGATCTGAGGAATTAAAGTTTGAAGCTAGCCTAGGCAGGAAAGTCCCTGAGACTTTCATCTCCAACAAACTACTCAGAAAAAGCTGGAAGTAGCGCTGTGACTCAAGTGGAAAAGCACCAGCCTTGAGAATAAAGAATCTCAAGGACAGCACCTAGGCCCTGAATTCAAGCCCCAGAATTGGCGTGCATGTACATGTGCGTAACACACACACACACATACGCACACACGTGTGAAGCCAGGGCTGGCAGTTAGGAGTCTTGTCCCACCTGTCACCAGCTATGCTCTGCCTCAGTTTGCCCTGCTGCACAGTAAGTCAGTAGGGTTTCCGTCACTGCTGGCAGCCTGTGACCCTGGGACAGCAGGTGCCGGCAAAGGCAAACGCCTCATTCTCCAAGGGTATGCATGAGCCCAGCCAGCCTGGGCAGTTGGCTTCTGCGCCCTCTCAGCAGGTCTGGGCTGGATTACAGACCTTGCTCCAACAGAGGTGACAGCCCACCATCCAGAGGGCCAGGCTCCGCCCCATGCTGCACACCCCTGAGGGAACTCCCTTTCTCTGGGCAGGGAAGGTCTGATTTGGAATTTGGTAGCCTCTGGGGTCTCTGGCTGCCACTGGGGGGGAAAAACCAGCCAGCTTGCCATCACAAAGCCTCGATGTCCAGCAGTAGCTGAATGAGCTTGGACAGGTCACTTTGCCCTAATGCCTCATTTCTTCCTCTGGGAAATAGGGTACGAACCCTGTGGGGGGGGGTGGAATAAGGGAACGGATGCACTGAAAGCCCAATGTAAGGAACGGGGATCTGGTGCAACTATCACTGCTCCCCACCTCCTCCTACCCAGTGGTCAGCAGGACCGAGTACTCTGTGGGCCACACCAGAACTTGGGGGCCAAAGCTCGGTGATCCTCTGCTGCCACCTGCTGGTCACCAGCCTGTAGGTCCTGTGTAGAGGTTTTCCAGCCCACAGGGAGTATTTGCAACTTCTTCCCCTGAGGGATATTTGGGAAACTCACACCAGGCTTGGTCATCATATGAGCAAAGAGCAGGGTGTAGTTACCCCAGATGCTCCTTAAGAAGGAAATGCGGGTTGCTGTTCATTACATTTGGAGAGTGTAACAATGCTCCATAGGAAATGGACTCATTACCTTGCTCATGTAACTGTAGCCCCTCTGTACAGTATCTTTATAATAAAAATATATCTTTTTTAAAAAAGAAACCTGTTCGTTCTGCTCAGGGCTAGCCATTCATCAGCAGGGGCTCGCTTGCTGATTAACAAATTGTTAACAGTTGCTGCGTGTGTGAGGCGTGGTTGGAGTGTGAATGTATCACTGCTTCTTTTAGCCTACAACCAGCTTAAGTTGTTTACCATAGCCTGGCGGTACAAGGTTTTCTTTTTAGCTTGAATTTTCCTGTTGGCTCTAGCCTAGAAGGTAGCTAAGTATGGGCATTAAGAAGCTTTCGGTAGGGTGTGGTCATGCATACCTGTAATCCCTGAATTAAGGAATGAGAAAGGGAAGGAAGGGAAAGGAAAGGAAAACAAAACTACATGTCTTGTCCAGGGGTCCACAATTACGGGGATGAGGGCCTGGAATGAGTTTCTCAGACCCAAAGCGGCCCAGGAGGCTAGGAAAGGAATGGATTCCAGAGAGTTCTTGCTTACGAGTGCCCTTTGCTTCCCTCCCCAGGTACTATGCGTCCCCAGCAGCTACCTCAGCGCCCTCGGGCTCCCAAAAGCCAGTCCGGGCCAACCGGCACTCTGTTCAGCTGGACCTGGATGAGCTGGATGAGCTGCAGGCAGCCCTGAGCCAGGCCGTGCAAGCTGCCGAGAGCGTGCGCACCACCACCCGCCACATGAGCCAATCGCTGGCCGCCAACCTGCGCCAGGCCCGGGGCCTGCAGGGTTCCTGCCTCTTCTGATGCCTGGATGCCCCCAAGATAGGGGGTAGCGGCAGGCAGCCCCTGTGGTCCCCAGCTGGATGTCAGCAACACCTGGAAGGCCTCCATAACCCCGTCCACAGAAGGACCACCTCCCCACTCCATCTGGCATGGTTAGCGTGGAGGAGCGCCAGCCTGTGATGAACGGACCAGCCCCGTCCAGCAGCTGCCGCCTCTGTCCGGATGGAGCCTCCTGGGACTTGCCACTCCTGCACTTGTTCATCACCTGCTAATAACATGTGTCTTACGCCCAGCTGGACAGTATGTCTCTATACTAGAGAGGTGTCCTGCTCCCAGATCTTTCTTGGAAGGCCAGGGTAGAGCAGCATCACCCTTCTGTGAGTGACCCCACCGCTGGGGAGAGCTGAGGATGGGGAGCCCCAGGGTGGCATGCGCTCAGCTCCTCTCTGGTTGTAGCCTTCCTCACTGGCCTACAGATGGGAGGAAGCTCACGTTGGTCCAGGACGCCATCCACCCCCCCCCCCCCCCCGCCCCGCATTCTCAGTACCTCTCAAGGCCTGAGATCTTTCTAGAGATTTAGTGGCATCTGCCAGCTGGGTACCCACCTGAGAAGCATCAGGGGCCACAACACAGATTTTCCCCCTTTCCCCTGTACCCCCTAACCTGTAGCAGCCATACCTCAGCATTCCTAGTGGTTGTGTGCGTGTGCAGAACAGATATTTGTATATTTTGGGCATTTCAAAATCTATTTTCTTTACGAGAATTAAATGAAGCAGAATGAATTATGATCTTAAAAAGACAAGCAAAAAAAAAAAACCACTTTTTTTGATGCCGCTTGCATCTGTGGTGTGTGTTGTATACTTGTGGTTTCCAAAGTCAAGAAAAAAAACATGAGACGTTGGCCAAAGCCTTCCTAGGGGTCTGCGAGGTGTGCGTTTCCGGGCTGTACCTCCCGGGCTCTGCTAGCTTCTACGTCCTCATCTTGCCTCCTGCCTGTTTCAGAACTTAAACCCTTTCTCCTGGCCAGGTCATCTCACCAAGACCCCAGTGGTGCTGAAGACAGATGTGTGTGGGTTACAGCAGCATGGTTGCTGAAGTTCCCATCTGGCCCCTTCTCCCAAGCTCTACCCGCTGGCATCAATCATGCTCAGTGTAGCCTGCGCCCCCCCCCCATCCTAGCCCCTCACTCTGCCTCTTCACACTGGCGCTCAGGACATCTTTGAACCTGGTGTGTCTGGTTCAATGTCCCTATTTGCTGTCTGGCTTTTGTTCTAGATAGCTCTCCATGACTCTGTACCTCTGCATAGCTCATGTTGGAGCTGGTGGTGACAGAGGGAGGGAGGGATATAAAATGACACCTTGCTGAGCCATGTTGAAGAAGAAGCTGACAACAGCAGTGTCTCTGTGAAGTCAAGGATGCTGGGAGCCAGGTGCAGGGGGTTGTGGTTCTTGGGCGGGAGGCAGGGAGTGCTGGCATCAGGCTTTAGGACAGAGCACGGTGGAGGTGCTAGACAGCTCATCCTATCACTCTAGGTTGGGTGGCTGTGTGCAGAAGATGGCTGCACAATTTATCCCCTACTTCCCCGCTGACTGGTGTGCCCAATCAAGAACAGGAGGGTCTGGCTGGGGGGTAGGCCCTTCCTCGGACTCCTGGCCAGCAGGGTTTGTCTCTGGGTGTGCCACCATGTGGCCCAGGCCTGGGACATGGTTTCAACCCCATTCCACACACAGGTGCAAGTGAGATGTGGGCCTGTCCCAGGTGTCCTGTCTTCTGGACCCCTCTGGGGAGCCCCCTTGGAAGCACTCACCATGGTGCCCAGGGCCCCTAGATCACCTGTCTTGCCCTGGGGTCTCTTGTTCCTGCCTCCCCTCTGGTCCCTCCCATGTGGCCAGGGTGGTGAGTCTGAAGGAAGGGCTGTGATGGACGCTCCCTCAGCCGCCTGCTTTGGGTCATCTCCGGGCTCCTCAAAGTCATCCTCTCAGGTTTTCGGCTTGCAGCAAGAATGAGGGTTTGATCCAGCTTCTCTTAGACGGGCTCAGCTGCCTCTTGTGGGGAGCCTGCCTGTATTTCCCCCTTCAGAGGACTCCCGGCAGCTGAGCTAAGTTTATGGGATCCAGCTAGCCTGCACTCAACACTGAATGAATGAATGAATGAATGAATGACAGATGACCTAGTACAAACAGGATGTTTATTGATTGCCAGGAAGGGCGGAGGGGTGCAAAGGGTGATGATGGGGCTGAGCCCAGGCTGCCTCTTCCTAGGGCTCTACTTCCTTCTTCCTGTCCTGTTCGGGCTGTTTCTGCAGAGGCCCACACCGATCCTAGGAGAGAGTGGGGAAGAAAGCCTAGTGATGGGAGAGGGCTGTGCAGAACTAGACTCCAGTCCTGGCTCTGTCCTGTCTTCCTCCCTGGAGGGCTGGGGCAGCTCACCTCCCTGGGGGCTCAGCTCTACAATGGGATCTGGACCCCTCCACATGGCTGGAACTGTCCAAACACAGACCACTGGGCCCCTACACCACGTGTGCTGATCACCATTTGCTGATGAAGCAACTCTGACTTGAGTGAGCTGTGTGAGGCCCCTTCCCAGACTCTGACCAGGTCCTGGCAGGCTGCAGAACAGGGAGCCCCAGGCCTGTGGCCATGTCCTAGACCCTTTCAAGGAGCCTGGGGCTGGTGACCACAGAGCAGCTCAGGTGGCAAGCAGAGGGAGATTATTTTTTTTTAATTTTTGGTGGTACTGAGGTTTGAACTCGGGCCTCACATGGTCTGTCACTCAGCTGTCCCTGCATGGAACACTTAAAAGCAAGAGACCTGGTGCTGGTGACTCACACCTGTCATCCTAGGAGGCTGAGATATGAGGATCATAGTGCAAAGCCAGCCTGGGCAACAAGGTCCATGAAACTCAACTCCAGAAAACTTGCATTGGCACTGTGGCTCAAAGTAATAGAGTGCTGGCTTTGAGCATGAAGAGCTCAGGAACAGTGCCCAGTCCTGAGTTCAAGCTCCATCACCACCACCACCAGCAACAACAACAACAAAAAGCAAGAGACTTGCCAGGCTGTGCAGTCTTGGCAAACGGCTTTCCCTCCCTGGGCTTCTCCCTTGTTTCCTGTCTCTTGTTTACCTTTCTCCAGTCCACATATGTGATTTCCATCTTGCGTAAGCCTGCGACAGTGGCAGCATCCTCGAACTCCTTCAGCTGCTCCGGGGTGATGTGTGACTTACCACCTGCATAGGGGGTGGGGTGCAGGAGGCTGGGTGAGGAGGGTGGAGGATGCTGGGTGTGGAGGGTGGAGGAGGCTGGGTGAGGAGGGTGGAGGAGGCTGGGTGTGGAGGGTGGAGGAGGCTGGGTGAGGAGGCTGCAGGCTCTGAGCGGAGGCTACACAGGTGTGGGATAGAAGCAAGTCTGGGGCTACCTACCGTAGAAGGAGATTCCCCGGTTCTGCTCATCTTCCAGGGAGAAAGCAAGCATGAAGCTCTTGGGGTCCCTGGGCAGCAACAGAAGGCCTAAATGTTCTGTGTCCCCTTCTGCAGGAGGAAGAGCCTTGGGGTGAGATGCAGGGCGGGGGGGGGAGGGCGGGGACAACACTATGGTCTCCACACAGCCACCCGCTGGGTGACCTTGGGGAACAATTGCACATCTTTTCTTCCATCTCCTCTGATCCTTGCAATACTTCCCTTGGTGCATTGGTGAGGGGGAAGTGTGTGAGTTCATGAACTCACTTCCACCAGCACCTAGCATGCACCCGATGAGCTCAGCAAGGCTGGTTCTCTCTGCCATGCTCTATTGCAGGGCACAGACAGGGATGGGGAGATCGTGGGGGCAGGTCCACCTTCCTCAGCTGGCTTTCCCCACTTCCACACAACCCTTCCCCTTACCGGGCCTGACCCTCACCGAATTTGGAAAGGGTCCCGTTCTCTCTCTGGACCCTCAAGTGGGTGGAGTTATAGATGCATTTGTCCTCCCTGCAGACAGACAGACAGACAGATAGAGGAAGACAGTTGAGGAGAAGTGGTCACCACAGCGCTGGGACCCTGGTGGATCTTGCCATCCCCAGACCCCAGGAGGGGAGACCTTGCTCAGGTCTTGGGGTATCTAGGAGGGGATGAGGTGGTGGAGGGGACTCACATAGTCTGATACTCTCTGACCAGTATTGTATCGTCTGTCAAGTTGGGGACCAAGTCAAAGAATTCCGCCTGGATCTGTTCTGCTGCTTGCTTGTACACAGGGTTGCGAAAGGCTGAACCCAGAAAGAACCACCTGCCTGAGAGCTGCGGAGAGGTGGGGGCGAGAGGTCAAGGGGGCCGACCACCAGTGGATAGCAATGACCAGCCCACAGGCGGGATCCCCCCTCTTCATTCTGTGAATGGGGAGACCAGAGTCCCAGGCCAGACGAGGGCATGTGTGATCTCATCCAGAGGACCACATGCCCCTTACAGAGGGGCTTGGCCATAAGGTGTTTGAGTTTGGAGACAGCAGGAGTCCAGCCATCAGAGTCTCCAAGCTGATCATAATTTCACCCAACCCCTCAAGAAACAAAATCAACAACGGGCAGAGCCACAATGGGTGGATTGAGCAAGGCAAAGCTGAGAGGACAGCAGCCGCCCAAGCACTCGGGCTGGTTGCCCCAGACACTCACCCGCTGCAGCGTGGCATTGGTGATTGGTATGGCGGTGAGGTTGGCGAGCGCAGGGTCGTGAGCCTGCAGAAGTGGCAGGAGGCTCAGGACAGCAAGAGCTACGAGCAGTGCCATCTGGTCAGTAAGAGCCAGGCTGAGCTGGTGGGCTGGAAGGGGGCAGTGGCCTTTATACCATGATTCCGGCAGGGCACCTGAGCCCAGCCAAGGGTCTGCTCAGAACCAATGGAGCAATCCTGCCAAGGCTTGAGAAATGCCTTGTGCAAAACCTCTCTGCACCACCTCCAGGGTCCCATTACAGAGACGCAGCTTCCTGCTTTATTCAAGGTCAAGCTGGAGGAGGGGAGGCTTGGGGGGGGGTGTTAGCTGGAGTGCTATTGAACACCTGTGACTCCATGGATTTCAAAAGAGGGGTCCTTGGACAGCAATCTCAGATTCTCATCTAATTCCTAGCCCACTGAGCTTCCAGATTTGAGGGGGACCCAGACACAGATGCCAGAGGGACCATAGAAAATTCTCAGACCAGAGTAGTGGTTGGTTGTGTTTGAGGGGCTGCTGGGGCCTGGGTGGACACTGAGGGCAAAAGAACTGTGAGCAGACATCCAGTGTGGCTCTGACCCAGCCCTCCCAGTGACAAAGGGGACATTCAGGAAATGATGTCTGTTGGGAAATGACTCTGGATCCCTGCCACCCAAGCACACAGCAGAGAGCAGCTTACTACGCACATCCCCGCCCTGGGAACAGAGCCCAGCTCCCAGTGTCCAGAAAGAGATCTTCATGGTCCATTTGCATTTCTTCCTGGTAGGGCCAAATGAAGAAATGCTCTCAAAAATCTATAACTACGATGCATTTGCCATATTCATGTCATATTTCATGTCCTCATGCAGTGTATAGATAGAAAGTTGTATGTATAGGGACTATGAAGGTGGCTCAGTGGTAGAGTGCTTGTCTTGCATGCATGAGACACGGGGTTCTATTCCTCAGCACCACATAAGCCAAAAAAAATGGAAGTGGCCCTATGGCTCAAGTGGTAGAGCACTAGCCTTGAGCTGAAGAGCTCAAGGACAGCGCCCAGGCCCAGAGTTCAGGTCCCACGGCTGGGGGAAAAAAAAGTTGTATGTATAGGTGCTGGTGCTGAGGCTTCAACTCAGGGCCTGAGCTCTGTCCCTTAACTTCACTCAAGTCTAGCACTCTCTGCCACTTAAGTACAGTTCTACTTCTGGCTTTTTTGCTGGTTCACTGGAGACTTTTCTGCCCAGCTTCCTGAGTGGTTAACATTATAGGCATGAGCCATAGGTTTGTGACTGTAGTTAGAATTTTAATGTGTGAGCAATGTTTCCTCTTGCTGCTATATTCTAACTTTACAACTGTAACAATGTTTTCTGCTTTTGGTAAACATGGGGCAACAGATTCCCTTCTAAAATAACCCACCTATGCAGTGTGTGAGGTACAGTAGCTGTACATAAAACTTCACAGTAATGTTATTAATGTTACTCTAAAGGTATAATCAACTTAGTATTCATCAACAAGCATGCTCTGCACATGCTCACAGATGTATGGGTTATAAACTTAGAGATGAACTTAAACAACTGGATTCTAACTCAATAAGGTTGATCAAGCAGGGAAAGCAAAAGATGACAAATTAAACACGATTTTAAATATCCCAAATTGGGGATGCACAAGTGAATTTCATGTCCTTGTCAGAACTAGAAATTCTATTTTTTCCTATTTGGTTCCATTTTGTTCTATTCTATTCTATTCCATTCACTTCTATTTCTTTCCTTCCTTTTCTTTTCTTTCTTTCTTTCTTTTTTTTTGGCCAGGTGAATTTTGCTAGATGATTTCTAACTTTGCACTGCTCTGATTTGAGGCTTGGGAAAATGTATGGTGTTGGTAAAGGTAGCAGAGTACAGGGAGAGGGGGAGGGGAAAGAGGGGAAGAGAAGGAGAGAGATACTCAGGGCATGGTTCCGGCCAGCAATGACTCGCAGTCCAAATCTCCTCTGTCACAGCCAGCACTATCCTGGCCCCAGGGAAACCATTCTGCACATCTGACATGATCCTTGAATCTTTAGACCCGCATATCCTCATCCCCACGCTTTGTGAGAGATGCTGCCACTGGCCCAGGGCTACCTAGAAGCGGGAGAATTGACAATGTTTACAGTGTGTTCACCCATCCTTCTCCATCAGTGCAGTAACTCTCCGCTTTCTCTGAGTTGCTGCAAGGCAGCGATCTTGCTGCACAGGCTGAGGAAATCTTCCCCAGCAGCTTCTGCAACCATTGCACCAGGCATTGGAGAAGCATATGGACGTATTCAATCATTCCTGCAGCTCCCGAGCGCATGCGTGGATGGACGGGGAGACCAGGTGCTCTGCGAGAATCTGATGACATTTTGCAAGGTTGAATGTGAGATTCAAAGATCATCTCAGAGCCAGATGAAACTCCAGCATGAGATCTAACTACTTAAGTGCTCCACCCTCACAAGATCAGCTTGATTGATTTATTTTCATACGTGTGCTTTGTAACATTGAAGTGTTTGCAGCAGTGGTCTGCGAGGGATTCTATTTGTAAAGGCAGGAATGGCCTGCTGGAGGAACGATGAACAGCCCAACCTCAGACTCCTCCCAAATGGTGTGTTGTGCTCCCCTCCTCCCACTTTCTGTCACTCATGCTGGGGGTGGGGGGGCTGTTTCCTCACTTTTCAACCAATATGCTAGCCAGGTGGTGTCTCCAAGAGCTCCCCCAAAATCTTCCCAGCTCCCTTACATTTCTAGGATGCTCCAGCACCAATGTAGATTGAAATTCTTAGCCAGCCCCTTCTATCCTGTCTGTCTATCTGACCCTGGTACAATGTCAAAAGCTGGTTAGAAAGAAAGAGACAGGAAGTTGGGTACCTGTAGCTCATGCCTGTAAACCTACTACTCAGGAGGCTGAGATCTGAGGATCATGGTTCAAAGCCAGCCTGGGCAGGAAAGTCCATGAGTCTCTTATTTCCAATTAACCACTAAAAACTGGAAGTAGAGTCATGGCTCAAAGTGCTTGAGTGTTCGTTCTCCTTGAGTAAGAGAGCTCAGGGTAGTGTCCAGGCTCTGAGTTCAAGCCCCACATCCAACAAAAAAGAAAATAAGAGAAGGAAGGAAGGGAGGGAGGGAGGGAGGGAGGGAGGAAGGAAGGAAGGAAGGAAGGAAGGAAGGAAGGAAGGAAGGAAGGACAGAAGGAAGGAAGGAAGGGGGTCAACATTTTCATAGGCTAGTTGAGGGTGGGTGGTAAAGTGCACTCTCCTGGCTGTGTGTACTTAACTTCTCTATAGAAAGGGAGATAAGCATTGGACTGACTTCACTGCATTGTTCATGTTTATGAAATGTTGATAAGAGGGAGGTCCTTTTGGAGGACAATTGTCACCATCAATCATACACCACCTTGGTCAGGGGGCCGAGAAAGCCAGGTAGATGCCTGCACTTGTTATGTACTTCAGTGGTAACAAGTGGCTCAGAGAGATGACATGAGCCGGAAAAGCCGCACAGCAGAGAGCTGAGTCGGCTCTGCAGCAAGGAGGGGCTGGGCTCCTGGTCTGGAGACAGAATCTTCTTTTATCTCAGCAGCCATGAAAAAACACCAATGGTTCTAACTAGGAACTCTGACAGGGGCTGGGGAAATAATACACACAAAACAAGGTTTGCTCAAGTTCACATCCTGTTCCATAATCTTGGGCAACGATGATGCGACTTTGTTGGGTTTCAGCTCTCCTGTCTGAGAACCCAGCCTTGCGGCATGTGTATCTCAGGTTGTGTGTGGAGGTGACAAGGCCGATGGCATGGAGCACTCAGCCAGACTCATGGTCTGGGCAAGAATCTGACCCCATCGTTGCTCAAAATGCTATTATCAGGCTGAGCCACAGGCCACCGGATTTCTTTTCTCTTTCTCCTTTCCTTTCCTTTCTTTTCCTTTCCTTTCCTTTCTTTTCTTTTCCTTTCCTTTCCTCTTTCCTTTCCTTTCTTTTGTTTTTGTCAGTCCTGGAGCTTGAATTAGATAAAAGTTTCACAGAGTTTCCTGCCCAGGCTGGCTTCAAACCGGGATCTCAGACCTCAAGGCTAGTGCTCTACCACTTGAGTCACAATTCTACTTTTGGCTTTTTTTTTTTTTTTTTTACTTTGTAGGTCAGTGGAAATAAGAGTCTCATGGATCTTGTCTAGGCTGGCTGTGAATCGCAGTCCTCAGACTGAGTAGCTTGGAGCTACTGGCACTGGATTCATTTTGGCTTTTTGATGGTTTGTTGGGGTCTTATAGACTTTCTACCTGATTTGGCTTTAAGCCATGATCCTTCGTTCTCAGCCTCCTGAGTAGCAGGGATTACAGGCATGAGCCACAGAGTCAGCACTAGGCAGACTCTGAATGTCATACATCAAAATGCAACTAATATTCCATCCCATATGTTACCACACTAAGGAACAGTAGCCCCTCCTGTGGCTGGCACAACAGGACATACCATCCTCATTTGGCAGAGGGAGAAACTGAGGCCCAGAGGGAGAAGCTGACTCAGCTGTCTGGGCCCTGCACTATGCTGGAATTCACCTGCCAGCCTCTCACCCCTCTCCTTTTCCCATTACCATAGTGCTTGTCATTGTGGGTGGGACTGGCATGGCTGGAAGTGACCCACTGTGGACAGAGCACACACACGGCCCTAGCTTTCCCCTGGAGCTGGCCCAGTGGGGACATCCACTCCACCTCCTTCCTGACACTCATTGTGAAACAGGAGTCCGCGAACGCTGCCAGTATAGCGAGAGTGGCCTTCTGTACCAAAGAACCTGCCAGCTATGGCTACCGGAAATGAACTGGCCCAGCTCCAGGGTCCTTCACTGTCCTGGTAAAGAAGGGTCAGAGATCAGGCTAGGTGGTGGTGTGAGTGCCACCGCTTTGACCCAGGCCTCTTGCTCTAGAGCTCCAGCACCTGCCTGCCATCTCTCTTACGCCCCTGTGGCTGCCAAACTCATCTGCAGGGGTTTCTCTGAGCTCTGGTGGAGGAGAAGACCACCAATCTGTGCCCAAAGCTCAGCCAAAGGCTACCTGAACAGCTCTGCTCCAAGTCCCCTGGCAGCCTGACTCAAGTAGAGAGTTCAGCTCCTGTTCTTCCATGCATACCTGAGGCTTATCCTGCTCTATGGCTTGTGTCCCATCTTGCCCCACAACCTAGAGTGAGCACCTTGCATTCCCAGCATGCAGCAGTCCAGGCCCCACCCTTCCTGCAGCAGCCTCCAGACTTAGAGCTGTGAGCATGCACTGTTAGCAAGGTTGGTTCCCCAGCAGCCCCTACTGCTTGACATGCCCAATGGACGGGCATCAGGAACATGAAGATGAGAGGCACATGGGCAATCTTTGACGATGCTTTGAGAAGCTTTCTACAGAACAAATAGACTTGGATGTGAATGTCCCATTGACACAAAAAGGGGAGCAACAGAAACAGCTGGATATCTTTTGGGGTACCCACTACGACATAGTAATCTCAGGAAATGTTTCAGGAAATGGGTTATCTCCATAACTGATGACTAAAGAAATAAAAAAAATATCCTTATTCCCCATTCTCAAGTTTTAACTTTTTTACCTTTTCCATTCCTGGGAAATCATTTTCTAGCCTTAGGAAACAGAGACATGTTTGCTGGGGCCTCTGAGGAGGTGGGATGTCAACATACCATCATTGGGGTTTGTGGTTCCATGTGCTGGGGTGAAGCTGGGAACTGGTTTATCAAGCCTGTGGGAGCTGTCACTTCTGATCTGAGTCTAAGGTGCTGACCGATGTTGTCTGCAGTCTTGGGATTGAGTTACAGCTTGACCTTGTCTTCCCCCAGGGCTGCAGGGCTCTCTGGGCCTTGGCAGGGTGGCTACAGAGTTCACGACCTAGGGTGGGAATCCTTGTGTCCCTCACTACTTGACACAGAGAACAGGCCTGAATCGCTGAAAACTCAGTGCAGGTTTTGCAAGCTAACATCCAAGAGTCAAGCACCCTCCCCACAGGGACCACACACCTTGGTCTTGGGTGTGAACACAACTGCTGTGATTTGTGTTCTACTGGAGAAAGCAGAAAAGTTCTGATTCACTCTGACCCCAGGAAGGAGCAGAGGAAGGAGCACAGAGGTATGAACCAAACCAGGATCAGGAGACCTGGGTGCCTGAGACACAGCTATCAAATTGCACATAAACTACATTGTTTCAGTTTAGATACATCACAAATATTGCACTATTGATTGTCTGAAATTAAAATTTACCTGGGTGTTCTGTGTTTTATTTTCCTATCCTGACAACCCAATCCCACAGACTTGTGCTCTTGTACTTCTTCTATGGCAGGTGCCACGGTGACTTTGCTCAAGAATCTCACAGGCTAGGGTTGGTGTGTGGTGAATTCCTGTAATCCCAGCTACTTTGGAGACAGCATAATATCGCTCAAGGCCAGCCTAAGGCAAGTTAGTAAGAGAACCCATCTGAAAGCAAAAGGAGTGGTGGTGTGGCTCTCATGGTATAGCATAGGCCTTGCCATGGGCCAGCTGTCTACCTCCCAATGAATGGATAAAGTGTGGTCTATTTTGTGTATGGATTCCGCTTGACATGAGCACAGCCATCTTGAATTATGATGACTTCCATGACTGTCCTTCCATGAGTGACCCTTCAGTTTTCCCTGCAGTGTCTCCCAGCAAACTATCAACAGTACCATTACAGTGGTGTGTGGATCCTGTGAGGGGAGTGCTTGACAGCTTGGGTGAAGTCACTTTTGCCCTAATGCCCTTCCTTCTGATCCAGAGGGACCAGTTGGGCTGGTACCGGTACCATCCTTCTGTCAATAAGTCTACAGACAATGGCACGCTGTGTGGTGTTGGCTCTATCTGCCTCTTTCTTGGTTCATATTTTATGGCAGCTTCTAATATACTGGGGCTCAGTTGTTTGACTACAATGAACTATTATTCAGCCATAAAAAATGAAGTATTGATACATGAAAAACATGGGTGATCTTAGACATATCATACTGGGAAGTGACTACAAAATGGGGTGAGATGTTAGGAAACAAGACAGGAAGGTGGGTGGTCCCACAGCTACACAGCTTGTGAGTGTGGTAGATGTCATTAATATGAATTTCACAGTAGGTACAATAATAAAGAACTGCTGGGTTTTCTTATTTGGAGACAGAGTCTACGCACACTCCATCAAGGGAAGATATGGTCATTAGGGTGGGTCATACCCAGTATGACTGGTGTCCTTATAAAAACAAAGTGGGTGTCGGTGGCTCAGGCCTGCATTCCTAACTACTCAGGAGGCTAAGATCTGAGGATCACGGTTCAATGCCATCTCAGCCAGGAAAGTCTGTGAGTCTCTTATCTCCAATTAACCGCCAGAAAACTGAAATTGGTAGTAGAGCACTCACCTTGAGTAAAGGAGCTCCTGGACAGTGCCCAAGCCCTTGAGGTTGAAACCCCACAACCAACAAAACCACCACCACAATAACAAAAACCAAAGTGATTAGAGACACCATCGGGAGGACACTGAAAGAGAGAGCTGGGGTATGGCTCAGTGGTGGAATGATGGCTAGGCATGTGGGATGTCCTGGGTTCTAATCTCACCACGGTTATGGCATGCAGGAGGGGTTTTGGAGGGAATATTGCCCCATCATATTTGCCCTGGCTTGAACTGAATACCCTCCACTCATCTTCCCTCTGCCATACCCTACCAGAAACTGCCCGCAAGCTTTACAAAGAAGCAGGGGACCCCACACACGTCGTTCCTTTGCCTCAGTTTTAAGTATTTATTTAAAACCCAGAAGGGGAAAAGAGAAAGGGAACCCACTGGGTTTGAACACACTGACATAGGGACAGAAACAAACGAGCACATGGAAGAATCCAGAATGAGGGAGGCTGAGGGAAGACTGGCAGCTGAAGGGACACTGCTGAGATGAGCGTAAGCTGCTAGGACAAACATGCCCTTTCCTAGAGAGCGCTCAGACTGGGTGGCAGGTGGGGCACAAAGGTGGTAGGAAGGGCAGGCCAGGGCGAAGCATTAAATAGTAAAATAATATCCAATTCCCAAAGAGACACAACCTTAGAAATACACAGAGACTTTCACAGACACTTTCCCCTTCTAGAAAAATAAGTCCATAGTTAAAAAATAACTTCAAAAATCCATACTCAGGTTTCCTTTGTTCCATGACACGCGACAATTCTGATCACACTGATTGTCACGGGCAGGCAGAACATGATGGGCCATGACATGGGTTGAAGGCAAGAAGGTAGACAGCGTTTGCAGGGGTGGGGTTCCTGAGGCAGGACCTGCTGATGTGGTTCAGTATTTACATTCTGCCTCCAAGGCTGGCTCTGACCTCTTGCTGCTTTTGGAACTCGATTCTTCAACTTCAAGGCTTCTCTTCTATGTAGGTCACGAGGCCTTCCAGGACAGGCCCAGCACTCTGGTACCACTTGACCAAAGATGAAGACTAAATGCTCCATCAAAGGAGAGTCATGTTAAAGTCCATAAGATAACAGGAGAGCGCTAGACTTCTGACTTCCCGTTTCAGATAGACTTTTTGTTTTGTTGTGCATTCTGCTTACTTTTTCTTCTTTTCATCCCTCCCTTCCCCCCTTTGCTTAGTGGATGGGCCATGCTAGGCAAATCAGAACTTCCCCAATCTTGGTCATTTGGAGGAGGAAGAAAGATGTAGATGAATGCCCACTATCAAAGTCTCTGGCAAAAATAGTAGCACCTTCAGAATCTTAAATAGAGTTTTTCTTCTTTTTGTTTTTTTTCCCTTAAAAACACAATAACATATACTACACAAGATGATTGTGAGCACCAGCGAATTCACAGTGGGAGGTAACTTGGCCTGGGTACCCCAGCCCCATCTTGCGTCCTCCCTTACCACCTAACTCTCCCCTCCCCCTCACTGCTCTTCTCTTCCCTATCTCTCTCCCAGGTGAAAAAAAATAGTAACACCTCTGTTTGTTTAAATAACATATCTTACTATATATATATATATATATATATATATATATATACTTCTTTTCTCTCTCTCTCTCTTTTCCATGTCTCCTTTTCTAATATTGCACATCAAAAGCTCCCTGGCAGAGACCAGCTGACAAGTTACCACCTTCCCTCAAGCCAGCTCCAGCATGGGGCTCTTTGGGGAGGGAGCCGGGAGGGCAGGGACAGCTTTCGGAGCTGGGAGATAGGTGGAGGGGCACAGACGGGCTGCAGCTCAACTTGTTCTGGCTGGCTCTTTGTGGGGCTACATGAGGATCAGTTGTTCCCAAGCCCAGCCCAGGGCCTGCTGCTCCCCACCCATTCCTATTGAGAAGATTGCAGCTGGAACCTCCCCAGAAGGCAGAGGGGCCCTGCTCTTGCCTCTTATTCTCTTTCCTTCCCCAGAAGGCCTAGAGGCACCCAGAGGTCAGAGGAAGCACGCAGGTCCAACTTCGAGGCGATACTGCTTCCCGGATGAGGCGGGAGGGAGGTTGTCCACGCTGACAATGGGTAGCTGCTGGGGGTCCTGGGTCCTGAAGGTGAAGTGTGTCTGGTGCCAGCGGCCATCGTGGACCTGCAGGTCGAAGAAAAAGAGTGTGCATGCTCTCCTCAGGTTCTGTGGATGCTTCGCCATTATCTCCACGCCACCTCCCACCCCCCAGCCAGTTTTTAATGATGTTGCATTCCACAGCCGCAATGACGCCTGAAGACGGCGTCCATGTTATTATTCACCAGCTTAGAAGGGTCCAGCACAACTTTCTGAGAAAACCGATTCTAATGAGATCGTTACATGAGGGTAAAAATTACATACACCACGCTAATGTAGTATTCAGTTGTTAGCTAGACTCTTTTAAAAAGATAATAAAAGGATCATTCTTTTTAGGCAATATCACCCCCTGGGAGGGTTTTTGCTAGAAAAATAGGGATATGACTCCCTCAGATCTGTATGCCTGGGTTGGCTTCCAATGAAGATGCCATCTCAGCCTCCCAAGTAGCTATGGTGACAGTCAGGAGCCATGGGCACCTGGCAGACTTCTTCCTTTCCCTCCCTTCCTTCTTTCTTTCCTTCCTTCTCTCTCTTCCTTCCTTCCTTTCTTCTTTCTCTCTCTCTTTTATTATTAACTTTTACTGTTATGATTATAAAAGTAATGTCAAGAGGGGTTACTGCTTGAGTACATAGTGAATGAGTACATTTCTTTTTTGACAATGTCCCCCTTCCTTCTGTTAGCTAGAATTTTACATACATAAAGCAAAGCTTCCCAAGTAAGGGGCCAATCTATCCAGGGCTCTAACAGTTACCTTGCAGCCATCCACAGACACTTCTGGCCTGAACTGACCCCCGGCTTCAAAGATCTGCCCATTCCAGGCCCGAAAGCGCACGGCCTGCTTGGCCAGGGAGTGCCCTGGGCCCTCCTGCCACACCGTTAGGTTAAGGCAGTGGATGGTGATGTGTTGGGTCACCTCGGAGCTCAGCAAGTGCAAAAAATTCATCTGGACCCGGCTGACAGCAAACTCCACCTATGGGAAGACACAGGTGGGGGGGGGCGCATGGGGGGAATACCTAAATGTTTGTTCACTGGGAAGACAGGGAATGAGTCTGTGTGGGCAGCACTCACAGCCTTGTCATTAAGAAGCGGCTGTTGAGCCCCAGAACCAGAGCTTCAGTACTGTAGCCCGTTCCACTCCCCAACGTGGCTGGCACTGGGGCTGAGCAGGGTCTAGAGACCACATCAGGAAAAGGCTCTTGCCCAAGCTGAGAGGAAACCAGGAAGCGCTCTCAGCCATTCTGAGTCCCTGAGGGCTATAGGGTGGGCAGAAGCTTCTAGAAGCAAACAGTGGGACAGGCTGTTGGGAGATAATGGAGCCTGTAGGAGGGAGGGCCCTGTGGGAGGAAGGTAGGTCTTTGGGGGACTTGGGAGAGAACTGGGCTGGGCATGGGCCCATCCGCCATGATACGGGGAGGGGTGGGTACCTTAGAGGCTGTGATGGGCTTTAGACAGGTCTGTCCACCATGTGTGAAATTGCAGGAGACTTCGATGGTGTCGGAGGAGCAGCCAAGATTAGGATCTACCCAGTAGGTACCTGCATGGCAAACGTGCGCATCTGGGAGGTGCCCAAACTTGGCTCTGTGGATAGGCCTGGATCTGTGACCCGCTGAGCCCACTCGGGCCTGAAGCTGGGAGTGGCACGGGCAGCAAGTCCATGAGGGATGTGAGTTAATGGTTTAAGGAAAAAGGGGACCTCTCCTCTCTGCTCCCCATTGTTTCTTAATGGCCTCTGGGGTGGGTTCAGTGGCATGTGCTGGGTGAATGACTGACGGCCCATGTGTCTGTCTTCCTAAGGACACAAACTTGGCCAAAGAGCACTGAAAAATCTCAGACTCGATCTGTCCCCACTCCCGCTGGAATTCGCCCACCCGACTTGTCATCACCCCCAGGGAAGGATGTCCCTCCTCAGCCCCTACAGATACTTTACCATCCACCATCTTCTGCTCACAGTCCATGAGGTCCCGGCAGACCCGGGCTGGGTTCTCCTTGGTACCCAGGGGCGTCTTAATGCTCTGGATGAGGTTGCTGAGGTAGTGTAAGGTTTTGAAGATCTGCCCTCCTTGGTCCAGCACCAGATGGTCGGAATAGCTGTACTCCTGTTGTAGGAGAGCTGTGGCCGTTAGCCCTTTTGGTCCTTATTGAAGGCCAATACCCCAGACTCTTGCTTCCCCAAGTCTTTCCCACCTGGGAGAAACCCATGAGCCCCTAGGCTCATAGTTGGGAAGACTTGAGTCCCTCTGGGCAGAAAGCTGAAGAGGCTTTGGGAGTCTCTGACCCGCCGGGGTTGGCATGTGATGACCCAGCACCAGAACTCTAGCTAAGCCAGCACTAAGTAAACCATGCTGGAGGTGGTTGGGAGACCTGGGCACAGGACCTAGTATCTGTACATGTGGTCGGAGGTCCTCAACCACCCACGAGGCTGCTTAGGCCCACACTAAGGGAGCCAGGCAATGTCCCCTGAAAGGCCTGGCCAGGATTCCTCCAGCATCCTCAGCATTCTCTTCTCTGGTGTGGCCTACCCTGATATGTGACCACCATGAGGGCCATGGATGAGAGAGGAAGAGGGCAGAGCCCCTTGGTAGGCAGCCTTGATGTGTGTGAGAAATCTTCTCTGCTGAGTTCTATTACCAGACTGTCCACTGAGCCTCTGCCATGGAAGGAAACACTCTCCCCCTCACTCCACGCCCCCCCCCCCAACCTGGTCTCCCTCTCCTCTGTCTCTGTCCACTGCCTTTTCTTCTGCACTGTCAGGGAACAAATAGGGCTCAGGTGGGACATCTAGCTGGGGATAGTAAGTGCCCCATGGCAGGAAAGCTGCAAGATTGCAAAGGGGGATTTGCCAGGGGCTGGATTACAGTACACAAGGCCCCTCTCTGCCTGGAGCCTTGGAGCAGAGCTGACAGGCCCAGACCTCCTTGTGAGTTGATTGTGAAGAGCAGCTGCAGGCCCTGGGTCCAGGTGACCGTCTCTCCCTGACGCAGGCCAGCCAGAGCCCAAGATCTAAGAGGACCGGGGGAATCACAAGACCTGGGACGACTTTGGATTTGCTGCTGCTGCCCATTTGTTCTGAGTCCCAGAAATAACCCCCATCAGAGCTGTCTGATGGCATCAACCTCCTGTGTCCATTAGGGTCCATTTCTCCCAGGAAAGAATACCATGTGGGCAGAGCTCCTGGCGGTACCTCTGGTCTGAGTGCTCCATCCATGTCCATCCACGTCTGGAAAGCTGCCCCAAGGTCATCTCGTTGCTGCACAGGGAAAACAAAAAGATGAGCTGGGTGCAGGTGGGTGGCTCATGCCTATAATCCTAGCCACCCAGGAGGCTGCAATCTGGGAGTCATGGTTTGAAGCCAGCCTGGGCAGGAAAGTTTGTGAGACTCTTATCTCTAATTTACCACCAGAAAATCAGAAGTTGGGCTGTGGCTCAATGTGGTAGAGCACTAGCCTTGTGCAAAAAAAGCTTAGGGACAGTGCCTAGGCCCTGAGTTCAAGGCCCACGATTGACTGAAAGAAAGCAAGAAAGCAAGCAAGAAAGCAAGAAAAGAAAGGAAGGAAGGAAAGAAAGAAAGAAAGAAAGAAAGAAAAGAGCTAGATGTATAACTTGGCCCCTCAGATTTTCCCAGATCCAGAAAATATGAACTTTAGCTCAAGCCCCCAGTCTTCTACTCATTCTTCTATGGCAGGATCTTGGCCAAGACATAATCCCTGAGTAGAACTCGTTCCTCCTCTTACAAAGCGACAGCTGACCCTGCCACTTTCTTTCTCTTAGTGCTTCAGGGGCTCCCTGGTGCTCCCAGAATTAAGTCCCAATTTCTCAACATGGTTACCAGACCTCGTCTGAGGCCCGAGCCCCTCCTGCCCTTATTTGTGCTCTAGCCCTGAGCTTACTATCCAGGCTTAGGCTAACTTCTTAAGCATAGCACTCAGGGACAGAGCATGTAACAGCCATTGGACCGTTAGAAGGCTGTTCCATTGCCTAGAAAATTCTTCCTCCCTCTGAGGAATGACCTCCTTGACCAGAGCTCTTCTCCTGGAGGTGACAATGCCCCCAGAGGATGTTTACCAATACTTGGAAACAGTCCTGATTGTTACAACTAGAGAGTGGGGTGCTACTCCATCCCTGTGGTTAGAGGCTAGGAATGTGCCCCCCATCTGCCACTGCAGGGCTGTCTGACTGCTAGAAGCAATGCCTGCTTGTGTCCTGTTGATATCAGCAGTGCCATAACTTCTCCACGTCCGCAGGCTTCTCCTCGGGCTCACGTTGGCCTGGTCTCCCATGCCATGCCCTTGATCTCTAACCCCGTGTTGGGCTCAGCAGAGGCCTGGCCTCAGGCTTGCTGAGATCACGCAGAACTGTCCTAGGATTGGGCTCCAGAGAGGGACTCTGGAAGAACTGGGCAGGGCCAAATCCTAGCTGGCCACTTCCTAACGACACCAGGGCCAGTTCTGTCTCAGGTCTGGTCTGCACAATGGGCCAAGAAGTGATGTGTGGAAGACTGGACTTCACACAAGAGAAGCGCTTATCATGGAGTCTGATGTTCAGTGAGCACTTGGTAAATTCCACTTAGGAAGAGGGGTGAGTGTGCGATCCAAGTACACAGGTGCGGGGGCAGAAATACCATGGTGCAACCCCCTTGCTTCTGTACGAAGCGTACACTAGTGTATCTGTATCTATGTCTACATCCATATAGCTGCATTGTAGCAAGGAGTGTCTCAGAACTGCAGGCAGAGAGATCTGCATAGTAGCCCCTGGGTGGGGACTAAGCAGAAAACAACTTCCAGCCTCCTCCCCACAGCCTCTCCTCTAGGGACAAAAGGACATGTGTACCCCAAATGCATTTGGAGTCTTAGTCACTGTGGCCAGAGGAGCCTCAGCTGCTGCTCCTACTGCCCGGGCCTCCCTTTCCACCCCAAGTAGACCAAAGAGAATATTCTCCAACTTACAAAAAGGACGGTCTGCCCTGGAGGGCCCTGTGAAAGAAGACAGAAGTCAGTGTGGATGGAGGTGGGGTGCTGTCGACTCGGGGTGTCAGGAATCTGGAGGGGCTGTCGAGCACGAACAGCGCTCTCGAGCTGGTCTTGGCTCCCCCAAGACCCAGCTGCCTGCTCCTCCCCCAATCCCAAAAGTAGACTGTGCTCTTCAAAGTCTGAGGCCTGGTAGGAGCAGGTGGGTCCTCTGAGGCTGCTTCCCCCCGCAAAGCTGGGGTCCCATTCATAGGGGGTCACTTTCTCCCCAGAGAGCACACAGTGCCCAGTATGAAGTCGACCTACCGGTGGGCCAGGCTGCCCTCTGGGGCCGGGAGGACCCTGGAGAGAGAGAGAGGGAGAGACTCGTGAGACCGGGTCAGCCGGGGCCTCCTACCCTCCCTCCCATGCCCGCCCTGGCTCTCTTCAGGCTGCCTAGGACCCAGGACAGTGGTGGCACAAAAGGGCTCCAAGCATGCCAAGAACATCAGAAACCACAGGAATGAGACCCCAGGGGTCCCCCAGCCCTTCCCCCACCCAGCCCTCCCACCCCGGTCCACTCACCCGTGGGCCTTGTAGTCCCTGCAGAGAGACAGAAGGAGGACCGAGAATCAGGGGCCTATCCACGGCAGGGCCCTCCCTCACCCACAGCACTGTCCCACCCCGCAGCCCCGCCACTCACCCAGTCCCCTCTGCTGCCTTTGTCACCCTTCGGACCCTGCAACAAACCACAGCCCATGAGATGGGAATCGAGGGGAAACCGAGGCTCAGCCTAGCCCAGCATCACAGAGACACTGAACTGGGAAGACCAAGGGTCCCAGCTATCTCCTTGTACATACCGGGAGTCCTGAAGGTCCCAGGATTCCAAGGGGCCCAATGATGCCTTCCTTTCCCTAAAGGAGACAGAGGCTGTGAGTCCTTGCTCCAAGCCTGGGGGGGACAGAGTCACGGAGACAGAGGTGGAGAGTGCCTGAGTCTCCCAAGGGAACGAAGGGAGCCCCCCGATGCAGGGTGAGACCAGGTGTGGGGCCGGGCTTTAAGACTAGCATGAGGGAAGGAAGGGGAAAGGAGGGAGACCGGTATCAGGCTGGAAGGGATGGCACAAGCGAGGTCATGGGGGAGGCCACTGTGATGTGGAAAGAGAGTGAAGGAGGAGGAGGAGGACAGGCATCTGCCTTGGGCCTCGGGCATCTGTCGCTGTTGGGACCGGAGAGGACTCACCATCAAGCCGGGAGGCCCACGAGGGCCTTGGATGCCTTTGAAGCCAATGTCTCCAGGGGGTCCCTGTGGGAAACACAGGGGTGCTGTCTATGTCTAGATGACCACTGGGCAAAGGCCAGGAGCCCCCCCTTACACCTAGGCTCCGGTGGACCTGCATCCTCCCAGTCAAGAGTGGCCTTACCCGAGGCCCCAGGAAGAGCAACAAAAGCCGAGGCCCCAGGAAGAGCAACAAAAACCCCAATTGTTTAGCAGTTGGGCTCCAGAAATGTGCCAGCTGGGTACAAGATGGTATACAGCCCTGGTCCTGCTTTCTCAACACTCCTCAACTGCTATTCTCTACATTTTACTGGGTCTGAAACAGGCTTGGAGACACAATGACGCAGAGCAGGGAAAGCATGGGGCTGGCTGGGCACGGAGCCCAGGCGTGCTGGAGTGTGGAGCAACCTGCTGCCGGCCCAACACCGGGGCTCCATCAAGACTTTGGAAATGAACCAATGAAAGGATGAGGGTAATGGACGGGACCCCACAGAAACACGGGGGCGGGAGGGGGAAGGGAGGGGCCGGGAGTTGGTACCTTGGGTCCAAACAGGCCAGCCACTCCTGGAAAGCCCATCTCACCAGAGTTGCCCTGCAGGGAGAAGAAGATGAGAAGGGGTGAGTGGAGCCGGGCCCCAGAGGGTGCTGAGCAGACAGGAATTGGCGCCCTCTGCTGGACGAGCAGGCAGTACCCAGCTCAGGGACTCCTCGGGGCTGCTCTGTAGGCGCAGAGCTCTGCTATTGTGAACCGAATATCAGGTGGATCTCTATGCATTTTTTTTTATGCTATTGTACAGTGTTGCTTTCTAAACTTCTGTGGGAGTTCCACCCAGGTTCTTTGCTAAATTCCTTCTATACTTCATTTGCTGAGTTTCTTTTCTTTTCTTTTTTAAATTTGTGCTAGTACTAGATCTTGAACTTGGGATTTGTGTGCTGTCCCTTAGCTTGTTTTGCTCAAGACTGGTACTCTACTTTTTGAGCCACAGCTCTACTTCTGGATTTGGGGTAGTTAATTCCCCAGGCTGCCTTTGAACTATGATCCTCAGATCTCAGCCTCTTGAGTAGCAAGGATTACAGGCATGAACCACTATGCCCAGTGAGAATTTTTAGAAGTCAGAAATGGAACTGGATCTTTGTCAAGTGCTTTTCCAGCATTGTCTGACTATGTGGCTTTTCTTTTTCAGTTTATCAGTATTATTTAATATTTTCAAATATGATACCATTATTACATTCTACTTGATCTTGCTCTAGCATCCTTTTTTTCTTTTGGTGCTGGTCCTGGGGTTTGAACTCAAGGCCTGCGGACTATTCTTGAGCCTTTTCTGCTCAAGGCTAGTACTCTACCACTTGTGACACAGCTCTACTTCTGGCTTATTGCTCGTTAACTGGAGATGAGAATTTCATGAACTTCCCTGCTGGGGCTGGCTTTGAACTGTGATCTTCAGATCTCAGCCTCCTGTGTAGCTAGGGTTACAGGTGTGAGCCATGGGCACACAGCTTATTATACTTTCAATATGTGTATTATCTTTAATGGTAGATGCCATCTATCTCATCTCTATATTAGGAATTTATATATTTTCATTTTTTTCACCAAGAAACCTGGTGGTTAGAGGTTTATCAGTTTCTATTAATCTCCTCAAAGAGACCAACCTTTCCTTTTGCTTATCATTTTCTTTGATTGAAAAAAATGTCTGATCTTCATTAGTTTCTTTATTCTGTTGATTTGTGTCCTAAACAGACACAGGAGTGACATCCATCCATTTTGACATACTATGTTATTACTTTCTTTCAATCCAAAATAGCGATCACCCTTTCAACTTCTTTACTTGTGGTCATTTAGACTTTCATTACATTCTAAACCGTGATTTTGATCTTTTTGTCTCATTACGATCCTTTGTGTACTTGAATCATTTAAGAGTTTATTAAGACTGTGTCTTTTAAAGCCCCAAATCTGTTCCATCCTGGCATGTATTTTCCATGCATGTGAAGGGTACCTGCACCTGCTGACATGGGACACCATGTGCTACAGAATCAGGTAGGTCCCGTCCCATTGGTAGTGGTAGTATTTGAGTCTTCTGTAATCTTACTGATCTTCCACCCATGACTGACAGAGATGGATTGGCTTCTCCAACTGTAGTTCTAGTTACCCGTTTCTCCTTGTAGTTCTACCAATTTCTGCTTAATATATTTTGAAGATCTTTATCATTATGAAATGATCTTCTTTTTTATGTTCATAGTCTTTTCTTCCCTACTTGCCTTCTTCTTTCTTTTCTGATACTGAGCACACTTCCTGGCTTCCTTTGATGAGTGTTAGCATAGAGTATCTTCCTCCATAGCTTCTCTCCATCTTATTTGCCATTTTATATTTAAAGTAGATTTCTTGAGGCAGTGTATAGTTGGGTTTTGCTTTTTCAACCATTTAAATTAAAAATCTGTTTGAAGTTGGAGCAACTGAGGCAGTTAGTATTTTTTTTTCTATTTTTCCTTCTGTTCTTTGTTCCCTATTCTTTTTTTTCCTGGTTGTAAAGGTGCATAGAGTCCTTGGGAGAGAAGCAAGGAGGAAGGCAATGTGACCAGGATCACCATTCAGAAGTGCACAGAGTCTGGATTCTGGCTGTGGTCCTCTGGCCATGGTCCTCTCCTGTCCTGAAGGAATGCATCCCTCCCACCACTCCACTCAGTGGAAGGTGAACAGTAGCCGGCTTACGACTCTGTCAGATAGGTGGCTTCTCAGTCTGCATTTACATGTATGAACATGAGTGTTTTGTTTGTGTGTTCATCTGCATGTGTGTGGTGGGTCTGGTCAGTGTGTCTGTGTGTACCTGTGGGTGTATGCTTGAGTGTGGGGGCATGTGTATGTCCAGGATTCACTCACCGGCTGCCCTTTGGATCCAGGCTCCCCCTGGCTTCCAGGAAGACCCATTCCGCCCTCTGTCCCTCGTTTACCAGGAGGACCCAGCTGTCCAGGTAATCCACTTTCACCCTTAAAGAAAGACACCCAAATTACCAGCTTGTT